CACCAGCCAGGACGAATGTCTTATTTTCTTATATCCTATTGGTTCAATTTCTCTGCAGAACCCTGAGTAATACATAGATTTTTATCGATTCAACTTCAATAGCTTGTGCGCTCTTACACTCTTGGCAATTTTCTTTTTTAATTCTCCACTCATTACTTTAACCAGCACCCATTTTTCTGTAATAATTCTAACATCTTTTAAAGGGAGGCTATAACTTACCTTTGTATTCAAAGTGGCTTCCATAAAATTGCTATTTAACACATTTTGTCAAATATTTAATAAACATAAACATTGATGGTTCAAAATTCATACCTCCAGATTCTTTTCCTCTTTCTTTCTCCTATCTTCCTCTTTTTTCTGAGCTCTAAACTTATATGTTTACATTCATGTAGTAAAAACTGAACTCACAGTTCACAATACAAATTCACCTCTATGTTTGTTTTATTATTACATTTTAATGAAATATATTAATATCCAGTCATTTAAATATAAACTTGATTTATTTTGGATTTCTTTTCCTACCCTCTCTAAGAAAATTGGATTATATAAGATTGAGAAGAGCAGGATTAACACTATAAAATGATGGGCCAGTTTGCAACCAAAAAATAACAATGAAAGTGATAGGAATGTTGAAAAAGTTATTTCTAGAGCATGGTCTGTATACTAGAAAAAGGAATTAGATGTAACCAAAAGAATAGAATAGAGTAGAATAAGACAGAATAGTACAGAATAGATGCAGAAATAAAGAGTGAAGGGCCATTTATGATATGGCAAACAGATTGGACTAATTTTTTTAAGTAATTGAGAGATAAAAAAAGATTTCTATTTTCTACCTACTGTCTATGCTACTTATTTTCTGTACCTTCTCCCCCCTTCTCCTTCTCCCACTCCCCTGTTGCTAATCCTCCATGTGATCTTCATTTATATGGTTCACTCCTGATCTAGCTGTCCTCTTAGTTTGCTTTTGTTTTAGGTGTGGTTCTTAATAATTGTATAGATGGGGGGAGGGCAAGAATAGTAGGGGAAATATGGAATCTAAAGAACTTGAGACATGTGGTCATAAACTAAAGGGGGGAATGGTGGGGGAGGGGTGTGCAGGGTGGAGGGATATGAAGGGGGGAAATAGAACAACTGTAATGGCATAATCAATAAAATATATTTTAAAAAAAAGATTTCTAAATGAGAAGTTTACTAGGTCATATTTGTTTTTCCTGATAGTGACTTTAGAAGTTCTATATTATTCACTGATAGGCTCCTTCAATTAGAGTTTTATTTGAGTCACTGAATTTACTCTATGTTTTTGATATTGCACAACTACTATTTATCTCCTTGAAACCCGTATTAACCTCATTTTTGTTGTTTTTGTCAGTTATTAGAAAAGAATTTGGCATTGTGGTAGAAAACTTGGTTAATGTTAGTTGAGGAAAGAATAACAAAAGAACTAAAGGTTGCATGTATTCCCAAATCTAGACTTTTTTTGTAAAGTGGCAGAAAAGAAGTAATGCAATAGCCACAGAAGATATACATGTTTGTATGTACCTGGGAATGATTTAATAGAGAGGGAAGTTTGATGATACAGGAGAGAGAATAAAACTGCTGTAATGACACCTTGAGTAGCTAAAGGAGAGGGAGAATGTGGAAGCGTTGGTTAAGATCAGGGATAGCCTACTCATAGTAATACTGTATGAGTAAGGGCACAATACGTGGACAAGGATATATGCAGCTTAACAGCTATGGGGGTGGGACTTTGTGGAAGTTTTTTTTCTATTTTTTCAATCGTATAGGAAGAAAGATTATTAGATGACAGTGAGGATAAGGAATAAAGTGTTTTGACTTTTGAAGGGAAAATGTATAGAAAAATTGGGTAGGCAAGTTGGTGAGTATATGTACTAGTGAGATTAAATATAGATTTTGAGCTGCATTAAGACCTATTTGAAGTTAGTGAATATGTCTTTGTCTAGTCACTATCAACTGAAGGGTGTAAGTGTGGGCTAGTCAAAGATTCAGTGTGATTCTTGTTGGTGTTTTTTCAGTATAAGGAAGTAAGCAAGGGAGTTGAAAGCATATTTAAGGGGGTGACTAAAAACTGTTCACTAATTTAAGTTGTCAGTAAGGAGAGTGAGGATATGAGGGAAGCAAGTGGCAATGAAGAAGGTAAGGGGTCATCAGATAATAAGAGCTGGTGAAACAACATTTCTTGGAGTCAGAATAATGGAGAAAATGATTTGGGAGTGCAGAAGGCTGAATTTAGACCATGGGTCACTTCAAATTAAGATTATGGAGGGTTTACAGGTATTGACAATAATAAAATTTTATAACCAAAAGGGTTAGCAGAATAGGTAAGAAAACATGCAAGATCACTGGAGGTCAAGGAACTGAGTGTCTAGAATGTTGGGAGAATCACTAAATATTAGGAGAGTACTAGTGCTAGAGATATTAACAGTGAACTGAAATCTTCAAGGAATCAGGAACATGGTCAAGGGTTGGCAGATGACTGAAATAGTGTTGTGTAATGGTTGTAGTAGTCTGTGGTCAAGAGAGTCAACACTAGAACTTTTAAAAAATTATTTTATTTTTGTTCAATTAGTTGTCTGCATTTTCCCCCTCACCACTCCTCCCCCCACAGCCAAACCCACCTCCCTCCCTTGATTCTACCCCCCCCCTTGGTTTTGTCCCTGCATCCTTTATAATAGTTCCTGAAAACCCTTCCCCCCATTATCCTCTCCCACCTCCCCTCTGGTTATTGTTAGATTGCTCTTACTTTCAGTGTCTCTGATTATATTTTGTTTGTTTTTTTTCTTTTATTGGTTATGTTCCAGTTAAAAACACTAGAAATTTTTAGAGATGGAAGGAGGAAAGATGTTCTGGAAATTGCAAATGAGCAAAAAGAACTTACAGGCTTAGTTGTACAAGGAATGTGGGAAACAAAGCCACCAACAAACATTTGTGATATCTGCAGAAAACCTAGAGAAATGGATTTCAATTAAAGCAAGAAGGTAGAAGAGATATACAGTGAATATTTGAGTTTATATAGATTTTGGTGGTGAATACAATGGCTTTCAGATGGTGAAAAAAAGCTAGATTTTCAGATGTCCACACGGTTTTGAAAGTCAGAAAAGATGTTCGGAGCCCTATGTATACACATTTCAAACTCTAAGCCAACCACTACAGAATTTTAAAAAGAGGTGTAATAGATATTCTAAGAAAGGAGATAAATAAAATTATAGAAAATGCTCAAATAGAACCAGAGAAGGTGAGAGAGAGAGAGAGAGAGAACAACCCACCTAGTTCAAAGAGTAGAAAAAGATACAAACGTGGCAGGTATTAATCCAACTATACCAACAAACACTTTAAATGTGAATGCTCTAAGTACACCAATTAAAAGCCAGAGCCTTTCAGAATGGATTTAAAAAAGATCCCACTATATGTTGTCTACAAAAAAAAACACTTTAATTGTAAAGACACAGGTTATATGTAAAGGGTGGGGAAAGATGCATCATTCTAACACCAATCAAAATAAAACTGGAGTAGCTATATTAATTTTAGACAAAGCAGACTTAAGAACAAGAAAAATTATCAGGGATACAGAAGGGTATTACATAATGATAAAATGGTCAATTCTCTAATAAGGTATAATAATTTAAAAGTGTCTGTACCTATCAAGCTAACATCAAATTATAAGAAGCAAAAACTGGTAGAACTAAAAAGAGAAATATTTTAGCACCCTAAAGGTGAAATGAGTTTCTTATTATTCATAACAAGTCCATTTCAACCGATTGCCTGAGTTCATGTTAATAAGGTGACTTTTGGACATCTCCTAAGAGGGTAGAGGCTGGTTGTCACCGACTATGTCAAGGGAACATTGAGACTATAAATACTGAAAGCATGTGAGGACTATCTGAGAGTTTCTCCTTGAGTGAGGTGACTCTTCCCTAACCTAAAAACTCTCTGAAGACCCTTTTGATATTTGCTTCTGCTGTGGCTTCATCAGTAGTGGTGCTTCAACCGAGCAGGGGTCTCAAGAGCGATCATCTTTAGAGCATCTCAGCCTGCCTGCTAACACTGGCATCTTTGTTGCCTTCCAACATGCTTTAGCTATGAAATTTTTGCTTTGTGCTGGAAGCTGGAAGTCAGTTCTTGATAGTCACTGACTCTCTCAAGTGTGCCTTCGCCTAAAATAATAGTGTGATTAGTCTGTCATTGGTTTGGAGTGTTATTTCTTTATTTGGCTTATTAAGAAATATTACCCTATATGTTTTGGCTTATAAAATTATTGTATTTCTCACAGTGAACCTATGCTAAATAAATTGCTGGCAGGCAAAATCAATTTCTGGAGCCTAATTTTGCTGCCTCAACAAAACAAAACAAAACAAGAAGGTCACACTGATTCTCTTAGGTCCTAGAGTGAAAATATGCTTCTTACCACCAGACACTAAAATCCTTTTTTTAAAAATTTTATTTAGTTATTTTTCAAGTACAGTTTTTTGTCTATTTCTCCCATCCCAGTGCCCCCCCCGCCCCATGCTCCCCACCTCCCTTCCATTTCCACCCCCCTTAGTTCTCGTTCCTGTGTCCTTCCTATTTGTTCCTCCAAATCCCTCCCCCTTTTTCCCCTTAACTTCCCTTCCTTCTCCCCTCTGGTCACTGTCCCCTTGTTCTCTATTTCAGTGTCTTTGTTTTTATTCTGCTTGCTTGTTTGTTTTGTTGTTTAGCTTCCTGTTAAAGGTGAGATCATATAGTATTTGTCCTTCAACTGCCTGGCCTATTTCACTCAGCATAATGCTTTCCAGTTCCATCCATGTTGTTGCAAAGGGTAGTAGCTCCTTCTTTCTCTCTGCTGCATAAAACTCCATTGTGTATATGTACCACAATTTTTTGATCCATTCATTTACCGATGGGCACCTAGGTTGCTTCCAACTCTTGGCTATTGTAAATTGTGCTGCTATGAACATTGTGGTGCATAGGTTCTTTGAAATTGATGTTTTAGGATTCTTAGGATATAATCCTAGCAGTGGAATTGCTGGGTCAAAAGGCAGGTCAATTTTTATTTTTCTGAGAAAATTCCATACTGTTTTCCATAATGGTTGCACCAGTCTGCAATCCCACCAACAGTGAACTAAGGACCCCTTTTCCCCACAACCTCTCCAACATTTGTTGTTTGTTGCTTTGTTTATGATAGCCATCCTGACCGGTGTACAGTGATATCTCATTGTGCTTTTAATTTGCATCTCTCTGATAGCTAATGATATTGAGATTCTCTTCATCAGACACTAAAATCTTATTCTTTATGGACATTTGGACAGGCTATTGACTCTACATCATGTAATTTCTTTAGCTGAGTTAAAACAACAACAAAAAAAGATGTTAAGCGTACCACTGAAAATATTCAAGCATCCTAACAGGAAGTAATAGTGAAAGAAGTATGATAGGAACTTTTTTACCACACTGTGCAGATAAGAATCTAGCACAATTAAAGAAGGGAAAGCTAACCAGAGAAATATTGACACTGCCATCATTTCAGAGTCTTGATATGCATTCAGAGGACCTTACTAAAGGAAATGTATTGACATAAATAAGAAATGTAGTTGCAGTGAAGAAGACTAAGACACCTAAAGGAAGTAATGACAGCCAAAAACATCACATGGAAGGAACTCTTGAAAATATTTCATGTCTTTAAGACCACAGAGTAAATGTTAAAAGCTGATCCCAACCTAGAAAAGAGTATGGCAATTTGCTAAGGCATGGAAAAGATATTCAATATGCTTAGTAAGTTGGACCACAGAAGAAGTTGCTCCATTGTTCATGCTACTCTTAAAAAAATGAAATAAACCACTTTAATTTTCAATGTTTCTAATATTACAAGTTCTAATGTACTAACTAATATTAATTTCACTATACTTATTTCCATATTTACTTATAATCAAAAGTAATAGAGTTTTAATGTCTTGAGAAAAAAATTTCAGGTCACAAAACAAAATTTTTTCCTTTGATTCTGAGATTGGTCTTTTTGCATACTTTCAGCTTGCATGTGATATTTACATTTTGTAATATAATAAGCTATAAATCTGTGTTTACCTAAGACTAAAAATGTGGCATATCTACTTTGTTTTCACAAATATTAACTACTAGAGTCATGAAATTTTCCAATTGCTTAATTTCCATTGAATACTTCATACTTCGCTGTTTCAGCACTTGAAACATTTATAAAGGTGCCAAACCTGTAACAAAAAAATAAATAAAAATGAATGGTATGCTTTATTTATTTTTTAAAAAATAGACAATCACCTCACGGATCCAATCTGTTATATTCAAAACTTATTGTTGTTTCATTGATAAAAGAAGAGAAAGTGACAATAGCTATGGTGATTCTCTATCCTCCTGTGAGAATTCACAGGAGCCCTTAACTGTCTAGGATCCCAAGCCACCCTCTTGGCCTGGTCTCACCTAAGAAGTCATTGAGGAGTAACCTCAGCTTGCCCAGGACACTTCTGATTTATGCCCAGTGTCTTGATGTAACTGACAATACCTCCTTTCACTCTCAAAAGTGTTCTAGTTTGGAAATAAGTCATGGCTATCCTGATTATAACTCTCTTAAAATACTTACATAATCTTCATTTAATGAAGTATGTAAACATATTGTTATACAACATGTAAAGTAGTAGAATCAAAGCAGTTTTGTTGACTTCACAGAGACACTTTCTTTTATATCATAAAGGGTAATACCCTTGACTGTGATTTGATTTTGTGTTTATACTTCAGTGCCTTAGAAAATCAAGGGATGGTAGTGTGAAAGGAAAGGCAGAGAAATATAGCAAAGCTCCTGAATTTCTACATCTTGTGTTCCTGATTCCAAGGGACTCCTTTTACATAGGTGATTGTCAGAGAAACATGCAAAATTAGTATACATTTCTTTATTATTGACAAGATAGAAGGGACAGATTAACTCACAGGTCAAATTATAAAATTTTGAAACATTATCTGCCATCTTTTTTTATCTTGGCGCACGTACAGTTCAGATCCTTCCAGGAGACTGGTGATGGGAGACATGTAATGAGCAGCTAAACACAAAAGAAACATCAATTACTGCTCCTTTATACCTCTGGGAGCTAATTCAAGTACAACAGAACTGGATTCATATCATCAAAATTCCACTCAACATTTCACTTATTCTTGATTCCTTGTCCTTTTTCCCTCAGTGAAATTTAAAAACCTTGTTTATTTTCAGGTTTCCTATTTAACATCACTACACTCTTAACATCCATCAGATGATAGGCAAAAGTAGAAAGGATCAGAGGAGGTAAGTTCTTAGTCCCCCAAATAGCACCGTATCTACATCTATAGGGGTTCTAATTTTTTTCTGCATTCACTGCAGAATGGTTCCCATTCATTCAAGACTAGACTTTCCAATGAGTACCCCCACAAATTTCCAACTGACTACCTTTCTTCTACTCCTTCAATCTTTCTCACTTACTTGGAACCTACCCTGAAGTAGGTAATAATGTCCTTAAAACTCTCCTGTTCTCATGGACTTTATTTAGGGACATAAAACATAACTTCTCTTACATTAACTTCAAAGACTTGAAAGAGAAAATCTGGAGTTTCAGCTTTATTTTACTGCTTCTTCCTCATTCAGATTTAAAGCCATCTCTATTCTCTCTGAGCACTGTACTTTTCATTTTAATATATGAAAGACCATAATTGCAGTAAAATAACCATTTGCATGATTTACTGTTTTTATTTACTTAGATAAAAGCTTCTGTAAGATGGATAAAAGTAGGACTTATTATTACATCCCCAGAATTTAGCCTATGTTGCAGACCTTAGTAAATACAAGAGATATTTGTTTGAAAATAATAAAAATATTATCAATATTTCACCCACATTATTTTATATGTAACACTCTTGCCTGAGTTGTCTTTTAATTGTTAACTAGCACTTTATTTTGAGGCATACGTTTGGTTTCAAAAATAGGCGGACTGTAATTTGAGGCTGCATTCTGGTGCTTATTACCCATGTGGCCTTAAGAAACTTATTTATTTTCTATGAAATTCAATTTCCTGGTCTGAAATTTAGAGATAATGATAGGTATATCATAGATCATTTTAAGGTTAAATAAAATATTAGATAGAAAGGCTTGTTCCAGTCTTTGGCTTGTTATAAGCATATAATATGTAGCATTTGTCATCACTTTTTGGGTATTTTCACTGTTTACATTATTCTTGAAACTCCTTTTTTTATCAGCTTCCATTCTTTCTCCTTTTTCTTCAGTCACTCATTGTTAAACACTTGTGCTAGTGTCCTATTTATCTGATCCACATACAGTGTGAACGTGTAGGTTTTTATCCTGTGGTTTCTCCTTTTTTCAATTTACCAAGTCATTTTGGATAGTTTTTAATTTAGCAAAGCTGCCTTACCAAGATCAAATTCCCCTCGATGATGACTCATCTGTTATTTCCCCAAAATATAGTAAACATTGATAAATGTTTGATAAGTAATTAATGTTTAATAAAATCATGGGTGGGTACTTTTTAAAAAATTTTCCCCACTACTACCATCTCCCATGCACCCCCAGGCTTGCATTTTATGTTCATGTGATTCTCACAAGTACCATAAACTTGCCATATTAATGTTCACAATCAGTATCAGTTGCAAAGATAAAAATACTATACATATACTTGATAATTTTTTCTTTTTTATTTTTTGTTGCTCAGTTACAGTTGTCCTGCCTTTTCCCCCATTGTTATCCCCTGCCCCATAACCCCCCCACTCCAAGAGTCAATCCCCACCCCTGGTGGGGTTTTCCCACTGGCTGGCTGACTGACAATCAAACTGCCCACCACATCTTATCTGCTGTTGTATAAGCACAGACAGTGCAAAGTGTCATCTGTATTTCTTGGCTTCAAAAATTCATATCAGTTGAGATTCTGTTGATTGTTCAGGACACTTGTGAGATGATCAGCCAAAAATAAGTGCTGGTGGCACAAGCAGTTGGGCTCAGCTTTCACCTACTAATCCACCATCTTCTAAATCCTCTCTCTTAATTTTCTCAATTTCTTAAGTAGTTTTAAATTTTTTCTCTGATTAAGATGTTTCTATCCTTAATAAATTATCAAAATAATACATGAAACCAATACAAAGTCTTTCCTTTGACATTTTAAGTACTACTTTTCTTATAGAAAGAAGATCACAATTTTTAAAAATCAGACATTTGAAGAAACCTTGCATATACTTCAACTAGGTTTAAAGTGTTCTCAGTATCACAAATGGATATACAATAATGAATAAGACACATTTTTCTCTCTTTAAGAAGCTAAAATCTAGCAGAACGCATTCAAAGCTATTGACTAAAAATATAATGATGAAAGAGAAAGCCCCAAATTGATAATAATATTTGCAAAGAAGCAACAAAGTTGACACTTGAAAATTGGCTTGGATTAATCAAGTTGAAAAGGAAAAAAATTGTAAGTTCGATAATAAAATCATAAAGGGCAAAAATCACAGAGACATGAAACTCGTTCAAATTAATGATGATAATAAGATCTGTTGGGTTGGAGCATGTTGTTATAGCAAATTAAACAATTAGATGTTGCTGGATAGTAAGGCCTGAGCATTCCATAGTTAAGTGTTTGGCATTTTTTCACTCAAATATTAATAAAAAGAGTAACAGTAAAATAATCATGAACATTGCAGTAACTTTATCTGATTTCTTTGTATTTTAACTTTAATAACACTAAGTAGGGTTGTAACATGTGAAAATAAGACAGATTATTTATATGATTGTACCAAGTGGACTATAGTCAAAACTGTAATTTTTCATCAGTGTACAATCACTATAAGAGGGAGGAGAATTCCATGATTTAGTTTTTAATCCATTGTCTATTAATACATGCCTCAAAAGCAATTGCGAGGGATAAGAAATGCCAAATATATATATTTTTTTCAATAATTTACCTGTTGTGATATGTGTTATGGACTGGTTACCCTAACAATTGTATATTCTTGCTATTTGAACCTGTGATATAGGAATTCTCCAATGAACTCCCCTCAGAGGGAGGGGTCACTCATAAAAGGCATAAAGGCCATTTATTAGTAACAGCCAAGGATTAATATTTGTCTTACCTGCACCGTTAACAATACCAAAATATTTATGTGGACAGACTACAAATCATAACACAGACCTGAGTTCTATTCCCAAATATCTCACTGTCACATCCCAGGGAGGAGGAATTACTTTTGCTCTCATTCTGACATTTGCATTCCTTTGAGCATGAGCAACATCTGAGGTCTGAAAAGCAAGCAAGGAAAGTCTTTGACACTTGTACACACATATGCATAATATGTATGCAGAGATACACAATCAATAAGTATATATATCGGAGTGTCAAAACATCTGCATTATATATTGTAGTTATTAACAAAGCTTATATATTAAACGAGGGATTGTTTAACATATGAGAGAAGGAACAGAATATGATATGAAGTTAAAAGGGGTATGGATCTGAAATAATCTGAAATAGAAGAATCATAGATACAGAGGCAGAAAAATGATGGAGGAATTATTAAAAGCACGCAGAGAAAACTTCAGTGTGTTTGGATTGTTGCAACAAGACCCTAGTCCATCTCTAATATGGTAAATTTTCTACAGAAACCTCATCACTTTGCTGTTTCCAGTGATGTTGCTTTAAATTATTTACTGTTCTGCCATTGCTTTCAGGTTAAAATTGAAACCCTCCACATTATTTCCACAAACCCTAATGACATTCAAATTTTATTCCTTATCAGTCCACATATATCTTGAATACCTTGAACTTTTCCTGAGAGTGTCAGGCTATTGTCCATCACTTTTATTTAATATGCTTTCACTCCCAGCATTGAATATTGTACCCTCATCTAGTCTTGACTATCCCCTCCAACTACATTGTTTTTTTTTGCATTATATATTTATGATTATGTGCATTTTGTACACTGAGTTATAGTTATCTGTTTACTCCTCTGCTTTTCCTATCATATCATAAGATCCTCAAAATGAAGAATTGTTAAACTGTTATGCTGAAAACTGTATATTATCAGGGTCCCCTCCCAAGTGCTTGACAATTTTTTTTTTAATAATGAAAGAAGGTAAGAAAGGAAAGAGTAAATAAAGAGTGAAAGGAAGACAAATTAGTAAGAGGGTATAGGATTTTCAGCAGGGGAAATGATGTGGTTCCTCTCTGAAGAAACTATTTAGCAAAGCCGAAGTTTATATATGGTTGTTAGTGCCACACTTTATAACCATCTTCATTTGGGAAGTTTTCTGTTTATACATTCCACCCTGGTTTCCACTCTGAAAATATCCAGGTAGATGTCTCATCTCCAGAGAAATCTAACAGAAAGCCTATCTTGTTTTAATAGCAAAAGTGTAAACCCAAAGCAACCATTCCTTTCTTTCTTAAATGTGAACAGAGAAGCAAGAATTATAACATATATTTGAGCACCAGCACGAGAGAGAATTTCCATTATAAAAGAAAAAGAAAAAAAAAACCTGTGTATCCCCACCCCCCAAAACAAATTAGGAAAGACGAGTCATATTTTAAATGACTCCTCTAATTAACATACTTAGATGATTCCAAAAGTAGTAACAAGATGCTACAAAAAACAATACTCAAGAATCACATAAGATGTTATCGGGTTAAAAAATGTGATTGTCAAAATAATAATCAATATAAAGATTGATAAATAAAGTTTAGAAAATCTCCCACAGTCTAAAACCAAAAAGAGACAATTTGCAAATTTTAACTTTTGAAGCAGAGATGTCATGAAAACAAAAAAAGAAACAAAGTAGAAAACATAAACTTATTCGTAACAGCACATATTTTCCCTAAATTTGGCATAAACTTTCAGATTGAGAAGGCCCACAAAGTGTACCCCAGATAAATGATTAAAAAATACTCATATCCAGAACATCCTAAAATTTCAACTCCTAAAAACTGAAGTATTTAAAAGCTAAAATCAGGTCATTTTTATGGAATGAAAATCACACTGGGAACAGACTTATTAAAAACATTGTTGGCTAGAGACAATGATGCAATCTTTTCAATGTCCTCAAAGAAATTAATTTTTAACCTTCAAATTTATATCTAGCCAAAATAAAGAGCACCTCAGACATGCTAACATACAGAACATTTATTCCCTATATGCCCAACAAAATTTTATTAAAATGGGAATTTAAATTAAGGAAAAGAAGAAGAAAGAAGAGATTTAAGAGAACTGAATTTAATGAGAGAGAGAGAAGGAAATTCGTTTGATAAAAGTGATGGTTAAATAGCATACAAAGAAACTTAGTCAAGAAGGATAAAAAGCATTTAAAAAATAATTTATAAAAGGTTAAACTTCAGAACTATTTCAAGATCTTGAACCCAGTGAAAAGGCTGGAGAAAATTAGAGAACCCTAAATTATTGATGAGACTATATGAAACAGATGGGTGATTTCACTCACCACTGTTCTGCTGCTTTAATCTCTCGTGGCATTTTGAGGCGTACTCTTTCAACTCTTGTAATGCGTTTTTTAACATATTTTTGAAAAAAATGTGCTCACTTGAGATATTTTTATACATATCCAGGTATAATGTTATATTTTTCTCCCACTGTCCTGTTATGTTCTGTGGCTTGTCATATTCTGGTCTGTTGCTGAAGAAGAGTTTTTGGTAATCTGTAATTCATGGCAAGAGATTAGACTTTAACACAAAATTTTCCAGTAAATTATATTAATATCATAACAGTTATTTAACAGTTTAATAGAAAACATGTTAAAAGATAGCTACATGCATGTAGAATACCAACCTTACATACTTTTAAGATTAAAATTAATTGAGATAAAAATGATTTAAATTACTTAAGGGTGCACAGGTTTCTTGTTTATGGAAATGCCCAAATAGGTTTAAATGTAAAATGGAAAAAAATCTACATGAAGCAGAAATTTCAAAATAAAAGACAGTGTAATTCAGTATATTTCTGAGCCTGTGTGTTGTGAATTTAGGTTTTTTGAAGTTATAACCATAATTTAAGAAGAGTTTGAAAGCACATGACTCAGAATTAAAGAAAAAATTTAAACACAGGGACCATGTCTTTAAGAACTTCAGAAGATTCAGCCCTGGCTGGTGTGGTGCAGTGGATTGAGGGTTGGCCTGCAAACCAAAGGGCTACCACTTCAATTCCCAGTCAGGGTACATGCCTGGGTTGCAGGACAGGTCCCATGTAGGGGACACTCAAGAGGCAACCGCTGTTGAAGTTTCTCTCCCTCTCTCTTTCCCTTCCCCTTTCTCTAAACAACATCTTAAAAAAAAGAAATTCAGAAGACCCAGAAAGTTTCATAAACTATCCATTCTGTGAATTATTACAACATAACCTGGCCTTTCTTGATAGATAGATATTAGTTACCTGGCAGCTCTGCAAATTAATGGAAACTTTAATTTTTAATTTAAGTTCTGTAAGGATTGAATGAGATAAAGATCACCAAATGAGCATTCAAGAAATGTTGGCAATTATAGTGATAATCATTTTCTATTTCCTCAAGATGCCTTTCTCCTTACTGTTGTATGAAAGAATGAATGGGGAAGGGCTCTTCCCACCAGCATGCAGACTTGGGCAGACACATCCCCAAATATGGAGTGGTTTAAAAAGTCTTTTAATTCTCAAATAAATAAATAATGGATATTTAAAGAAACAAATTATGGCAGGGGTTGGGGAAGTATTCAAGGAAAAGAAAAAAATATGATCAATATAGCAAAAGATGGAAACATGAAAGCAAAAGGGCTTAAAACTATAAAGTACAAAATAAAATGACACACATATGATCAAAGATTTTCCACTGATCATTTATTAATCATACAGAATTTTAAAAGTACTTTGGACACTCCGCACTTTAAATTGAGAAAAATGTACCTGTTAGTTATGGTTGGACTGAAGATTAAATAAGACTGTGTGTGAAGAACTTGAGAAAACATTAGTGCTTAAAATATTAAGTAACATAATATCAGAATAATGTGATGTGCATGATAAAGTGAAGGAACAGCTTCAGAGAAAAGGGGAAACTTACCCATTAATATCAGGGTTCCCAGTCCAGCCATCACTGCCAAGTTCAGCATCAGCACAGTGAAAGCCACAATGACCCACACTTTCCATGGATTAGAATGTCCTATGAGGAAGCACAAATTTAGAAGAATGAGATGAAAAACACACTTTATGCTACTCTCTCTTTCCCTAACCTCCTCTGAACACAGTGTATAGGACCATTTAATTCTATTTTAATGAAAAAATAATTTGCAAAATCAAACAGCACTCATTTATGTGAAGTGTCTAGATTCACATCTAACACTAAAAACACAATTTCACATAAATGTAATTATAGTCATATTCTGAATATTTTTATGGACACTGCCTGGTTTATAATTGATCAGTCATCTCCCCCACCCCATGTTCCTAGTCTTACTTTCCTTGGTCTGTCTTCCATCTCCATGTAATCAGTGTTCACCTCCAGCAGAATATTCTTCCTCACTTTTCCACACTAGTATTGCAATGTTTTACTCAATCCAATTTCTTTCCCATTCTCTGATGATTGACCTTTTTAAGTGTTCTCTTTAATATCAGCTTCTTAGGAAATCACCTATTTCCTCTAGATTTTAAAATTTATTGCCATAAATTTGCATGGACTCTAGTCATATGTATTTATTCTCTCCCAGTTTATGGCTGTATTTTAAAACTATTCCTAATATCTGATAATTTTGCTTTTGTTATCTTTCCTTAATTTGGTATTGGGTTTTTTAAATGAAATATCTTCATGTTATATTCTGTCTTCAAAATTATTCTATTTGTAACTTAAACTTTTAAATTTATTGATTCTCTCTTAATTTATTTTACATTTATTAAAATATGTATTAATATTCTCCAGGTCCATCCAGAAAATTAAGTAAGCGAATTAAGCCAGTTAGTGAAAGAAAAATACCACATATTTCACTTATACATGGAGTCTAGTGAGCACAATACACTAACAAACAAAACAGCAATAGGAAGTAGGGGGGTGGGAGGAGGATCAGAGGAAATCAAATGGTGAAGGGATTAACCAAAGAGTATTTATGTACATCCATGGACATAGACAGCAATGTGAGGATTGGAAGTGGGCAAAGGGAGAGAAAGTGGGAACCAGAAGAGCATAAACAGTAAAAATAAAATTAAAAAATAAAAAATACATAAGTAAAAATGTTTTATTAAGTTTGGCTATTCTATGTTCTCTGATAATAAAATATTTGAGGCGATAAATCTTTCTCTTTGATAACTTTAGCTGTCTTCAAACATTTTTTATTACATTTTAAATATCTGTAATTTCATTCGTTTTGTTTTTAATCAAAGATATATCATTAGAAATATATGTTTTCCCAAGTATTTAAAATTATTTGGATTATTCTAATATTATTACTCTTTTTATTGTATTATAACCAGAAAGATAGAGGTCTATTAATTTCCAAAATTTTAATATTTAGTAGGTTTTTAAAAAGTAAATTACTAACTCTTTGTGCTAAAGATACATTATCTAAAAAATTTACAATTATATAAAATATGTGTATTTATATCTACTAAGTATAATAATCTAATTATTGAATCACTTCATATTTATCAGATTTTTGCTAGGTATCCTGTAGTAACAAAAGTAGTACATAAAAAAACCTTGAGTCACATTTACTTCAAATAAAATCTCCTCTTAAAATTTTTGTTTTATATATTTACCTTAATTTTTTGGTGTACATAGGTTTATGGTTTTTAGATTTACTTCATGAATTATAAATTTGATCATTACTTAACATGCATTTTTCTGATGTACCCAGACTTAATTTTTTTTTAGTTTTTCTTAGTACTAGAGAAGTTCTACTTGTATATCCTTCTTCTTCTAGTTACTAGTTACTAGTTACTAGCCCTTAGACAACAATCTTACTCCCTCCACCAAAGTGCTCTAATAATTTACAGTTTCTGATTCATAATGACATAATATTATATATAATTATCAATCCCACTGCCCCACCTGAGCTTTCATAATATCTTTACTTCCTCACTCTTTCTCTCCCTGACCTTAGGTTTTAAAGTGAAAATTTTGTAAAATTTGTCCTAGACTATTATAGACTCTCTCTTGGAATACATTTATTTCATTGCAAAAATAATCGAACAATTATTATAATTTTATTGTAATCATCTCATCATCAAGTATTACTTTTTTATAACCCTCTGAAGTTTCCCTTATTAATTCTTCTGTGTTTAGAAAGTTTCCAGAGTATGTTTCTCACTTGAAGTGTATGATGATTTTCTGTTTTATTAGAATGGATGAATTATATATTTTCTGAATTCAGGATGAGTAAATGGTAATAACTTCTCTTCGTTTTTATTCAGTATTAGAAGGTATCTAATTGTCCTTTAATTATTCCCTTGTTTCTATTTATTAATTTTGCTCTTCATGGAATCTTAGTATTTACCTATTAAATTACTTGGCTTTATTACTCAAGTCTATCATGATTTTAATATCTCTTTAATTTTGAATAATTTCTTTCATATAGTCTTCCAGGACATGCATGGGACCTGAATGATCTTTACTTTTTCTTTCAACTCATCTGCTAAATTTATTACAGTGAAAGTCATATTATTTCAGTTTAAATTTCTATGAGGCTATAACTTAATATCTTAAATGATGTTATTATGTTGGGTGTTTATTGTGCTTGTCTTTCTCTTCCAGGAATTGTTTGAAGTCAAATTGGCTTTTTCTTCCTCCTCTGGCCTCCAAGTCCCCTGAGATCAGCAGCTATTTTTGATTGTTTTGTCTTAATTTTATTTACTCTTGTGTTTGACAATAAGCTTTGAAGTACTTTGAGAACCATTAAACCTACGCGTGATGAAAAGTACATGTTTCTTTCACTATGTGTGCCAGCTTACCAGATGGCAAGCTGTTAATTCTATGAATCCATGAAAAAAGACACCTGGTCCAATATCTTCTCAGATGCAAAGGCTAGCATGCTCTACGATTTAGAATTACAGAGGACTGGTTCTGCATGCCTGTTCAGTTTGGACACTAGTCCTCTGAGGCCAGAAAGACAAGTAAGTCCTTCTGAAACTACACGAGAAGACTGGCACCATTTTCACAGGAGACTGCTTGGGGTGGTGTATTGGAGGCCCCATCTTTCCTATATGGAGTCCAACAACATCAAGAGACTAGGCCCTTTTCTTTTTGGGGAATTTCCTAACTAGCACAGAAATAAACAAATCCATTGCCCCTTCTTCTCGTTGGAATCCCATGACAGTTTTGGACATATACTGTACATATCTTCAGTGCCCTGTCTGTGCTAGCTCTATTCAGGGGAGGTGTTTGATAATAGAAAATGAGGGAAAAAAGAAGAATAAAATTGCATTTGAGTTAACTGAAATGTTGATTGATCGGTTTGGAATTGTTATACTTAGATCTCATTCTTCTCCCTTGGTTTTCTCTAAAAACTACAATGAAATGTAGAAAGAGGGTTAAAGAAGGCATAGAGTCATGATAAAAAAAGAGGAAGAAAACCAAAGAAATGAAATTTCAGAAGGTAGACTAGTAACTTTGTGAGCCCTTAGAAACTGAAGCAAAGTCAGCATTGAAGAAACAAAAGCAGCAAGCTAATTCTCATTTAAGAACCCAAAACAGCTCCAGGAATTGATGATATCTGGTACTTTCCATGTGGAGGTATAAGTGATCTGAAAACTAAAAATGTGCCTAAACATCCATGTAAGATACAAGCAGACTCCCCTCACCAGTATTTTTCCTCCACTCCATAAAACTGAGTTATCCTCTCTTATCCTTTCTCATAGGAGACTGCCTGGGCAGTGTATTGGAGGATTCATCTTCAGAACAATTAACTGTCCAAAGACAGTGAAAAAAAACTACCAACACTGACAATGGAGTTTTTCAGTGAATTGCCCCAGTCCATGAAGGCTACATTTAATAAGCCAATCACATCTATACATGGTACCAACAAAATGGATTTCTTTTCACACTTACAGGTAACCAAGGATCACCAGATATTTGAAGAAAACTGACAACATGAAAGACTGAGGAAAAATAAAACACAAATGAGCAATTTAGAAAAAGCAGAGCTAATACAATGAAGAAATTTCAAAATTGCTGTAAATACACTTCCTGGTAGAAGTGTAAATGTGAAAAGTGGTTTTGACAATTTCTTATAAAGTTAAACATACTCCAATCAAAACTAAAATTTTACTCCTACATAGATAGTTACCTAATATAATTTCTAAAAAATATGTCTACAAAAAGACATGCACATAAAAGCAGCTTTATTCATACTAGCCACAAACTGGAAATAACAAATATCTACCTACAGGTGAATGAATAAATATTGTGGTATATCCATGCAATGGACTACTACTCAACAATGAAAGGAATTAACTACTAATCTGCACAACATGGATGAATCTCAAAAACACTATGCTAATGAGGACTTCCAGCCAAAATGGAGGCATAGGTAGATATGCTTTGCTTCCTTGCACAATCAAAAGAAGGACAATGATCAATTTAAAAACAAAAAACAACCAGAATTGCCACAAAATTGAACTGCATGGAAGTCTGACAACCAAGGAGTTAAAGAAGAAGCATTCATCCAGACTGTGCCACAACACAGTGAAGTGGGTTGCCCTGCTATAGTGAATACTTAAAGCTCTGCCCCTTATAATGCAACAGGCACACCAAGACAAATAAATATGGCCCAAATAAAAGAACAGATCAAAACTCTAGAAATAGAACTAAGCAATGAGGAGACAGCCAACCTATCAGATGCAGAGTTCAAAGCACCGGTGATCAGGATGCTCACAGAAATGATTAAGTACAGCCATAAAATAAAGGGAGAAGTGAAGGCTACACAACATGAAATAAAGAAAAATATACAGGAAACCAACACTAAAGGGAAGGAAACAAGGACTCACATCAATGATTTGGAACAAAAGGAAAAAAATAAACATTCAACAGAAACAGAATGAAGAAACAAGAATTCAACAAAATGAGGAGAGGTTTACGAACCTCTGGGACAACTTTAAATGTTCCAACAAATGAATCATAGGGGTGCCTGAAGGAGAAGAGGAAGACCAAGAAATTGAAAGCTTACTTGAAAATATAATGAAAGAATACTTCCCCAATCTGGTGAAGGAAATAAACATGTAACTCCAGTAAGCTCAGAGTCCCAGAGAAATTGGACCCAAGGAGGAACACAGCAAGACACATCATAATTAAATTACCAAAGATTAAAGATAAGGAGAGAATCTTAAAAGCAACAAAAAAAAGGAGATAGTTACCCCCAAAGGAGTGCCCATAAGATTATCAGCTGATTTCTTAAAAGAAACCTTACAGACAGAAAGAGCTGGAAAGAAGTATTCAAAGTCATGAAAAACAAGAACTGACATCCAAGATTACTCTATCCAGCAAAGTTATCATTTAGAATGGAAGAGCAAATAAAGTGCTTCCCAGGTAAGGTAAAGTTAAAGGGGGTCATCATCACCAAGCCCTTATTATTTGAAATTCCAAAGGGGTATATCTAAGAAGAAGATCAAATCTGTGGACAGTAAAATGACAACAAACTCACAACTATCAACAACTGAACCTAAAAAATAAAAACAAATGAAGCAAACAACTAGAAAAGGAACACAATCACAGAAATGGAGATCACATGGAGGGTTATCAACAGGGAGGTGGTGGAGTGAGAATGGGGGGAAAGCTACAAAGAATAAGAAGCATAATTGGTACAAATAGACAGGGGAAAGTTAATAGTATAGGAAATGGAGAATCTAAAGAACTTATATGTATGACCCATGGACATGATCTAAGGGTGGAGGGATGCTGAAGAGAAAGAGGGTACAGGGTGCAGGGTCGAGGAGGATAAAGGGGAGAAAGAAAATGGGACAACTGTAATAGCATAATCAATAAAATATACTTGAAAAAATTGTAATTATGCTAATGAAAGAAGAAGTCATGAAGAGCATATGTTATTCAAACTCATTTTTATTAAATTCTAGACGAGGCAGAACAGTCCAGTATGACAGAAAACAGGTCAATGGTTATCTGCAGCCAAGATTCTTGATAATGCAGTGAGAATAACTTGGAAGTCACGCAGGTGACAAATATACTCTGTATATTAACTTCAGTGGTATATAGATATATATTTCTTAAGTACAATAAACTATACAGTAAATGTGAGAATATTATTTTCTATTTAAATTATGCTTCAGTAAGGTTGACTTGAAAATATAATTTAAAAAAACCATCAGAGAAGAGATTTTCCTATACACATAAGAATAGATTATAAAAAGCCTTAAGAAAACAAGAATTTGTTGAAATAAAATAATACTAAAAGCATATTTTCTGATAGGAAAATTAAAAGACAATTTAAGAAAAATCACCCATAAAATATAAGAAAAGGATATAATTATAAAAATTGGGATGTGTCATGTTATAAAAAAAAGAAAAACCCAGAAAAGGATGTGAAAACTGGGGGTAGATGGAGAAAATAATAAAAAAGAGATGGTTTCCCATAAAGGGCAAGAGTGTATCACCTTGTGTTTACCCTCCTTACTTCATTTCTCAAAATTTGTCTACCTTTTATTTTTAAAAGTAATCTCTAATATTTATGCCACAACATCTCACATACTGTCTTTTTTAAATTTCCTTTCGGCCCAGTCTGCCTATTTATGCTGAGAGTTCTCACCTCTCGCGGCTCTGGTCTCTGCCGCCTCAAATGCACTCTTAGCTGCCTCTGGTCTGTTGTCAGCCGCACCATTCAGCTCCAGTTCTGGCAGTTCATGATTGTATTTACAGGGAGAGAAATGTAAAAGTATTTTTAAATTTTTTAAAAATCACTCTTTGTTCTAGTCCTCTTTTTACTTTCTCACTATTCACATATCCCCACTATTTTTTACTTGATTTTGATAGTGTATTTTTCTTAATACACAAACTCTTTGTGACTTTCTACAAAAGTGAAATTTAAGCAGCCTACCCAGATGTATGTAAAACAATAAAAATATTGTGAAAATTGAATAACAGTTGTTTAAGATTGGGAAATATGTGACTGAACATAAATTGCTTCTCCAGTTTTGTAACCTCCTGAGATCAATTGCCTATGATATTAATTGGATGGTGATGATGTAATACCTTTATACATGCAGGTCCTTCATCAAACATCATAGAGAAGATGACTCTATTTGGGAAATTTGTCTCTAAAATATAATCTACTAACCCAATGCCTAAAATTCTATAATCAGATTTGTTTATATGAACTGCTTTTTCTTCATCATTTGAATATCAAATACTTTGGGGTAAATAAGCAAATTTAAAATTCCACATATTTATGGAAGATGTAATTTTATATTAAAACCTAAAGGACTTAAAAACAAATTAAAAAACATACAAAATATTAAAATATGTAAATTAAAAGTTATAAAGAACAAAAATAATCTCAGGAATGTGCAAGAAACCATATATTTCATTGCAATAACATTTCAATAAATATGATTTTGATGTTTTCAAAAGTTATCTTCCTACTGCTTCAGTGTTATATCTAACTCTCTAGGGATTGAACTGATGGATACAACATACTGATGGATACAACATACTGATGGATACAACAATTATGTGGACTGGAATTATATTATGTTGAAATAAGGAGCCTTCAATCTATTCCATCTTAGAAAGAAAGATGTGTTTACATCACTGAGTAGAGTGTGATCCTTTGAATCCCATAGCATTTGTCTATTTAATATCTTTTAGCAGTTAAATTAAAATCCTGGGGAATTATTTTCATGCTGTTACTGTTTTTCCTTCCCCTAATAGCCTATAATCTCTAAAAAATATAAAAAATAATGATCTTACAAAATAATAAGATAGATAAATTCAGGGTCTGGCACGTAGCAACTTTACTACGAACTAGTACTGCATAATTGAATCTCAAAAGAGTCTAACAGCCTTGAGTTGAAGCCAGGAGAACCCACCAGTAGTATAGCTGAATAGTCTTTCATCTGTCTGATCCTGCATAGAGGACCTTACCTGTTCTCTTGAGACTGCAGCTTTCCTTGAGTTTCTTTGACTTAGAAGGATTTGGAAATTGGAGAGTAGCATAGGTCACTTCCTCAGACATTACTGAACAAAGAAAGCACAATTCAATCACTCTGTGCACTGAGCTATCACCCTGAAGTTGTTCTTGCTGTTGTTGGGTGATTCCTGCACGAGGGAACTAAGCCGAGTGAACTGCCTTTGTAAAAACCAGCAAAAAATAGTGTCAAAAACAGAACTGTTACTTCTGCACATGTCTTATCTCCCTTTTCTAACTTCCTCCAGTAAAAGCATCAAGTTGAAGAAATGGTCTTAAGAGAAAAATATGGGTTTTAAACATAAATATTTTTTTTTAATTTGTGGAAAAACCATACGGCTATCCGGACTCAAGACTACCCTGTGAAAATACAAATTCAAGTTTACTTATTCCTGCATACATGAAGTAGTTAATCACATTGTGCCTGTGAAAACACTGTTATAATTTCATGTACTACTTAACCCACTCCTAACTCCCAGAAAACCACAGGTGAGTTAATTCTCAACAAAATGTTTTTCTTTTCTTTTCTTACTTCCTATTTTTCTGGATTAAAGAGAGTCCTGAGAAGTTAAAAAACAGTATATTAATGGACAAGAAAAAAAAGGCTGATATACTTTAAAGTGGCAGATCTTTCTTTAGAGTACACCCATCAAGATAGGATATGATTTCTGATTATTTGAATTTTGGGAGGAAAGTAGTGTATATATTTATATTAACCTATTTTCAAGATTGCAGAATTGAAACTCGGGGAGACCCAGTGCCCCGCTTGCTGTCCAGCACAAGATTAGTCAGTAGACAGAATGCTCGCTGTGTCCTGATAATCTGGCATAGTGACAACCATATGATACATCTTCAATTGGTATCTCTAAATGGATAAATTATTAATTCATTAATAAATAATCAGCACTGTTCAGTGTAAAGAAACTATTAAATATTCTTATTAATAAAGACACCTGTTTTGACTTTCAAGAAAGATTAAACATTGTTCAATAGGCTTACAGAGGAAAATCACACTTAAACAATCTAACCTTACACATAAAGGAACTAGAAAAAGGAAAACAAACACAACCTGAAGTGAGTAAAAGGAAGGAAATGATAAAGATCAGAGCAGAGAGAAATTGAGTCTAATAAACAATAAAAAAGATCAATAAACCAAGAGCTTGTTCTTTAAAAGGATAAATAAAATTGATAACTTTTTAACCAGACACATCAAGAAAAAAAAAGATGAAGGGCCTAACCAAATAAAATGAGAAAAATCCAAGATGGAGGTGAAGTAGGTGGAAGTTACACTCACTTCCTCCCGAGACCCATCTGGAATTGCAGCTGAAATATAGAGCAAGTAACCTGAATTACCAACTGAAGACTATCTCAAGTGAAGTCTTACATCCAAAGATTTCCAGAAGAAGCCACATTGGTACTACTAAGAAGGGCAGAGATGTGCAAAGGGCTGGTCCTGCTCCCACGGGCAGTGGCTGAGATTCCTGAGGGATATCTCAACTGCAAAAGTCCCCCCTAATAAGTGTGAGGTCTCAACTCCAATCTGGGCTCCTTACTCCTGAGCATCAGAGCCTGGAACAAGCACCCACATAACATCTGGCTGTGAAAATTTGGGGGATTTTGTCCAACAGGAAGAGATGTGAGTCTGCTAGAGAAAAAGGCACCCTTTTAAGATCTCTTCAGAAAGGAACCTTTGATTCTAAATATGGAGAATATGAATGGGTCCATAAGCCCCGGGAAATGGATACAAGTAGAAGAAAAATCCACTTATAAAGTAACTGAAGAAATAGTATTGGATTTTGCGGAGCAGGCCTATCTTGAGACTGTGACAGAAGATGCTTCAAAAGGGCATTTACTGATAACACCTTTCCTGTCTGGACAAATTACCTCATGCCATTACCTACCACTTACTGTTTCTGTAAGAAATACAAATAAATGTGATTTTGGTAAGAGATTAAAAAAAAAAGGCCAAAGTACAAAATCTTGTTCATAGCCATGCATCCTGGACCCTCGCGGAAGGAGGGCAGAGCAAACTCAAGTCACATGAGGGGAGACTGGAGTTTGTAGCTTTGTGGAAAAAAGTAAGTAAGGGTTAGCCACCCAAATCCCTGTGGTGAGTCAGTGTCCTGCACAACAGACCCTTTCTTGGGTGGGGCGCTACCTACAATAGGTCATCATCCTGGAGGAAAACAACAGCCCCACCCTCTAAATTCCCTCTCATCCCACCTTGCAGAGGAGTCAGCTGCCTAGGTAGGGTGTAGAGGTCTGGGAAAGTTCAGAGTGTGTCAGTGACTGAGCTGTGTGGTTTTGGGGTGAGAAGCTATTGCTTCAATTTCCCATAAACCTGACTGACAACTTCCCCTTATAGGAGATTCACTAGCCCAAGTATCGCAGTGGCCCCTCCTCCTGACTCCTGGTGGCCCCACCAAGCCAAGATCTAGACAGAATCTGGGACAGACTAAGTTGTGTGGCTCTGGCACCTGGACCAGACCAGCCAGACCAGCAGCTCCCACTCACAAGTGATTTAGTAGTCCCATCCTGTCAAATCCTGGCAGCCCTGCCGTCCTGAGATCAGGCTCCTGACAAAATCTGGAACAGACAGAGTTGTGTGGTGTTGGGACAGGGACCATTTTTCCCTTGCATGCCCAACCAGTGCAGAGCCCTCCCTTCGTAGGATCATATTTCAGCCTGTTTGGGCCTGATACCCTCTGCTGGCCTGACCTTGGTGACTCCCTAAAACCCTACCCCACCACAAAAGTGTGGGGGCAACTGGATGGGTAGCAGCTAGATATGGTATCCCTGGGACAATTGAGGAGCGGACTCCAACCAACCACCAGCACCGAGTTTGACTCTGTATCAGTCTAATGACACACGCCTTCACTTGGTGACTCACTGAGAACATACCTCATGCAGAGCAAGTACTGACAAAGGCTCTTTCAGTAACTGAACCTAACAGGAAACTGACAGGTAGAGGCAAGCAGAGGAGGATCTCAAGGTGCTTTAGGAATTTTGCTAACCTTCCCCTAGGCCTGGTGCTGGCAAAAGCCAGCTTTTGAAGTGCTAATAGCTCTGCATTTCAAAATGCAGCATTTCAAAACTTGGGTCATTCATTCTCAAGTAAAAATATGTTCATTTACAACATTGGAGTTACAATGAAATTCCTCAGAAATTGTCCCACGAGAGTGCAGTAGTCCCTGCAGGACTGCACCATTGCACCTGTGGATAGACCTATGGTTACTGTGGGTTGGTCGGCTAAGAAGCCAGCAAGATGAGCTGGATGTGGAGGGAGATGATGACCTGAGGCCTACCAGGCACTCCAGCTTTCACCTGCCATACTGTTGGATGAGAGTAACCTTTTGAAAATAATGATCTCTGCTTCATTGTTGCCTCCTAGTTATTCTATGAGTTCCCTTCAATGCCTAATTCTGACCAGTACCTAAAGCGGCCAAGGGATTCTGGGAAAAGTGTTTCCTGGACTTCAGAATACTGATGATAGTTTGACCACAGAAAATCCAGTGCATTACACATTCTGCTAACTTTTAGTATTGTCAGACTTTAATTTTACTCATTCTGGAGAGTCCCCACTATATTTTTATTTTAAATTATTTTCTAGTTAACAGTGATATTGAGCAACTTTTATATGTATTCAGGCTCTTTGAATATCCTTCTTGATAAGTACCTCTTTAAATCTTTCTGCCCATTCCTAATTAGAGTTATTTTTAATTATTAATTTGTAGGAGTTCATTACATCCTCGTTACTAGCCTTATGTAAATATGGACATGAATATGGTATATTAATACAAATTCAGCACATATCAAAAAATTCAGCACATGTATAAAAATTTAGCACATGTCTTTTTCAAGGTTATGACTTACATTTTCACTTTCTAATAGTGTTCTTATTTATAAAATCCAACTTCTCTATCTTTTTCATTATTGGTATTTATTTAGTCCTGTTTAAGAAAAATCTTAAAAAATCTTGTTCTCTTTCCATTTAGTTGATGTTTTCTTTAGCTGTGCAGAAGTTTTTTAGTTTGATGTAGTCCCATTTGTTTATTTTTTTCTTTATATCCCTTGCCCTAAGGCAGGGGTGTCAAACTCATTTTCATCAGGGGCCATATCAGCCTCTCAGTTGCCTTCAAAAGGCTGAACGTAATTTTAGGACTGTATACATGTAACTACTCCTTAACTAGGTGCAAGGAACTCAGTGCTGCCGCCAGGTAGAAACAAGGTGCTGGGCCAGATAAAACAAGGAGGAGGGCCGGATTCAGCCCGAGAGCCTTGTTTGCCACCAGTGCCCTAGGGGACATATTGGTGAAAACATTGCTGCGTGAAATATCTGAGATTTTCCTGCCTATGCTTTCCTCTAGGACTTTTATGGTGTCACAACCTCTACTTAAGTCTTTTATCCATCTCGAGTTTATTCTGGTGTATGGTGTAATTTGGTGGTTGAGTTTCATTTTTTTTGCGTGTACTTGTCCAGATCTCCAAAAAACAAGTTTTGAAGAGCCTGTTTTTACTCCAGTTTATATCCCTGCCTGCTTTGGCAAACATTACCTGCCCATGTTGACATAGGTTTATTTCTGGGTTCTCTATTCTGTTCCATTGGTTTATGTCTGTTCTTATGGCATTAACAGACCACTTTGATTACAGTGGCCTTATAATCAAAATAGTTCGATATCAGGTATTGGGCTCCCTCCTACTTTGTTCTTTCTCAAAATTGCTCAGGCTATTCTCAGTGGTTTACAGTTTTATATATAAGTTTTTGAAATAATTTGTTTTATATCTGTGAAATATATCATTGGTATTTTGATAGGGATTGCATTGAATCTATAGATTGCTTTGGAAAGTATCAGACAATTCCATTTTCTTTCTTTCTCTTTTTCTCAAAGTGTAAATCAGGCTGTATTACTAGAATAAACCCCAATTGGTCATGATTTATTATACTTCTATATATTTCCAGATTCAGTTTTTTTTCTGATTCCCCGTAAGGTTGGTATCTACCTTGTTTATGTCTGGAAAAACAAGAAAAAAGTACTTTCCTTTTCAGTATTCTCACCCAAATCACCATGTTGATGCTTAATAATATATGACTATATCTAAATGATATAATTTCATTTTAGGTCTGACTTTAGGTTTCTTTTACTTAGTAACCAAGGAGAAAGAAGAAATTTGAAAGTGTAAATTGTTAGGCAAGAAGCAGAAATGTGGTTTTACAGCATCTTTATTCCATTTGTGTGGTCCACAAGATGTATGTTTTTTAAAGCGACCTTTACTTGAGGATGGTATCTAAGGCAAAATAATTACACTAACTACATTCTTCCATCTGGTTCTTCATTCATGAGTGTACTCTCAATCTTCACTGGATTAGCTAACTTCTCACATACACTATATTTTCCAGAAGTGCAAGAAGTATAATAAACGTAGTTCGTATATGCTATAAATCCACAATATGCTCCATCATTTAAGTCACTTGTGTTTCTTGTAAGCCTGAAAGAGAAAATAAAGAATTACACCTGGCCAAACATTTGAAGCATATTCACACAAAAATTACTTTTCTAATATATCATTGCTCCTAGGCTCTGCATTGTCTTCAAAAATTGATTATCACTCAGAATATCAAGAGTGTCCTCATTTTTATTGACATATATAATGTCAAAGAAAGCCTTATTTTTCACATCTAGAATATTTCCCACATCTGGAATAGTTGCTGTTCTTTCAAATATAATACCTCCCTTCCCTAATACCTAATACGATTTAGAATAATGATGTTCCATTAGCTCCTCTAGTGTAACTGGCTCAGTAGTGAATATTTGACACTGTCCTCCTCAAATGTTTTTCATAATCGTCAAAATCAGGAATAATAAACCTAATGTGTGATACCTTAAGCTTCATATCATTTGCTAGTGACATATCCCTGTAGCTATGTTTTTAGAGATTCTACACTGAAATTCTGAGTTTTACCAGCCCCTTATCTAAGATTATTGGTTAGGGATCATGCATGAAATGCATGGGAAATGTTGAAATGCTGATTTCAACATTTTTTTGGGAAAAAATCAGTATTAAAACTTGAGCTTATAAATAATGATTATTTGTCAATAAATAAGTTCATCAAATTGCCAAAAGTAAAAGTTCCTATTTCAGGTGACATAATACAAATTGATCACACCCCTTTTCAAATACAAGCTCCAAAATAGTGTTTAGAACAAAAAACAAAAAGGAATTATATGTATATACATATGTAATTATCTATTATATACAAATATAATGTTATATATACATACATTATTCTATAACTTTTATTTTAGTGTTATTTATTTATTTATAACTAAAAACATCTATTATATTTTTGGTCCACTATAGATTATCTTTCTATCAGTAAAAATTATAAATAAATACATGGAAATTCTAGTTTAAAAAAAATTTGCTTATATACTTTATTTTTTATTTTTTTTTAATTTGTTTATTTTAATTGTTGCTCAAGTACAGTTTTCTGTCTTTTACTCCCATCCCAGCTCACCCCCCCGTGCTCCCCAACTCCCTCCCATTTCCACCCCCTTAGTTTTTGTACATGTGTCCTTTATACTTGTTCCTGTAAACCCTTCTTCCCCTTTTCCCCTGCACAGCTAAAGAAAACAATATTAAAATAGAAAGAGAATCAACTGTATGGAAAAACACATTTGCCAATGATTCCTCAGACAAGGGTTTAATCTCCAAAATATACTAAGAACTACACGTCTCCACCCTAAGAAGACAAACAACCCAATTAAAAAGTGGTCAAAGGACTTGAACAGACACTTCTCCAAGGAGAACATACAGAGGATCCAGAGACACATGAAAAGATGCTCAATCAGTATCACCAGCAATCCGAGAGATGCAAATTAAAACCACAACGAGATACCACTTCACACTGGTCAGAATGGCCATCACAAACAAAGCAACAAACAACAAGTGTTGGAGAGGTTGTGGGGAAAAGGGGACACTAGTTCACTGTTGGTGGGATTGCAGACTGGTACAACCATTATGGAAAACAGTATGGAATTTTCTAAGAAAACTAAAAATGAATATGCCTTTTGACCCAGCAATTCCACTATTAGGAGTATATCCTAAGAACCCAAAACACCAATCCAAAAGACCTATGCACCCCAGTGTTCATAGCGGCACAATTTACAATAGCCAAGTGCTGGAAGCAACTTAGGTGCCCATCAGTAAATGAATGGATCCAAAAAACATGGTACATTTACACAATGGCATTCTATGCAGCAGAAAGAAAGAAGGAGCTCCTACCCTTTGCAAAAGCATGGATGGAACTGGAAAGCATATGCTGAGTGAACTAAGCCAGGCAGTGAAAGACAAATACCATATGATCTCATCTTTAAGAGGAACATGAAATAGAGAAATTCTACCTTTTCAAAACAAGGTTTCATCTCTACTTTTTCAAAACAATTTTCCTCTGACACACATACTACCTTTATCTTTAATGCTTCACTCCAAATGAGATTTATTAACTATATATATTTTTAATCCTCTATTTGTACTTATTGCCTATTCTGGCCTATCATCACAACTGCCAAAGATAGAGCTGCCTTGTCTTTTCAACCCATGGACTCCTTAAAAAAAAAAACCTCACCTACTATTTTTTATTAGAAGAAAAACACAACCAAAACAAAAAAGCAAAGCTTCTATGTGCTGTCTGGCCAAGGTGGTGAGTGTGCAGGAATCACAGAGCTCAGAGTCAGTGCGGCAGCACCGCAACACAATCGCCCTGAGTTCACTCCTGCTTCACGTGCCCTCAACCCACACACATGTGTACATTCGTGGGCTTGTGGCAGTATGCAGCAGGTAACACTCTGGCTTCTTTCTTTAATCTAATCTGCTTCCCAGATTGGACATATTATAAACTGCGGATAAAATTTTGACGTTATTTTTATATGTCTTGTTTTTTTTCCATTACAACATATGAGTGCATTTAAAATTACATTTTAATATATTACACAACAAAATGTTTTATACATAGCTTGTATGCAATATACACATTCAGGTACACTTTGTTTTCTTTATCAGAAATGCTAGTCTATCTCTAAAATTTTCATTCAAAAATGGCCATTTCAAGTATCAGTTACAACACAAATTTCAAAGCTAAAATTTATTTTTTGTTATTCTAACTGAAGCATTATCATGTTCTATTCGTTTTTATCTGCAGATTTTTAAATTTAGTCTCATCATACCATCAATAATGAAGTAACTAAGGGCTGAATCACTCTTTTGTTCATCTGTGAATCCCAGCACTCAGCATCATTTGAGACATGTTCGAACCCAATAAATTGTGTTGGCTTCTATAGTGCTCTTAGATAAAAACACTATCTACAGAAATTCACCCTTATTTGAGTACTATAAATTTATTAGTGGCTTGTCAAAATAATGAGAAGACATTTGTGACAACTTCTTGCATTATTAGATACATAAAATACTTATGGAAAAGAATTCTTTATGAATGCAATTTTAATCGAAGCCACTTTTAGTAGTAATCTACAATGCTCCTGAGGAAAACTCCTTTACTCGTCAACCAAAAACACTCAAGGAAAACTAAAGACTTACCAATCAAGGGAGATAAATGCCTCATCCAAGATTTCATATTTTGTATTAACTTTCCTGGGAGATAATCCTAGCCAATAGTCATGTAACTTCTGAGACTTTATAAATTCCTACAGGAAATAAAAATGGTTGATTAAAATAACCACCTCCCACTTCTTTATATTGCCTCACATATAAAGTCTTATAAATAACTGTCTAAATGTAACATTTTTCTAACATTATAATACTATTTTTCAATGTTATTAAAGGAAATTGAGACTTTTTTTTTACTGTAGGACTTCCTGTAGCATTTATACATCAGTTACTGTAGAAGGATCTACTAATCCACACATAACCTTAATTTAGGGTCAATGTAGTTCACAGGATTCAAATACTGAACAGTAAATATTCAGTCTGGAGGCAAAGAGGTGGCTAATCACTACAAACATATGTTAACAGAAACAGAGAGTATGAGAAAAACAGCAAAGTGAGATGATAGGGGTTATAGAATAGAATTTAAATACAGTCCGAATTTTTGTAGCCATAACTTGTTTTTGAGTAAATAACCGTGAATGGATCATTTGAGGAAGAGCTATGGATTAATTTTTGCCCTTTTTATACAGAAGGCAAAGTTGCTTGAGTAAGGGAGCTGTTTTTTTAGAAAATAATTTTTTGGCTTAAAAAATAAATATGATTATTATCTGAGAGACCAGAAATTCTGAGTAATAAGCAAAATATAGAGATACTAACTAGATATTAGAAAAATAAATATATAAATAAGTCTTCCAGGGAACTCACTTTTTCCTGGGTTCAAGGACTCCATGAAATATAGCTGCCTTTGTCATTCCATCTTAATTCTGCTTTTTATATTTTACCCAAACTGTCTTTTTATTTTAGTATGTGTTGACTTTCTCTCTTAGTTAAACAAATGCAAAATGATGAAAATAAAGAATCTCCTCCTATGTACATTTTAGGGAATTGGTAAACCTCAGGAATAATTTCCAGACTTTCTGTTTTTAGATAAATGTTCATAAATTGGGTTCTGCAAAGTGATCCTCACATTTGGAAATGTTTACAGACCTGATTTTCGGTGCTCCATTACTACACATCTGCCCAGCCTCTCAGATTCCACTGATGCTGAAGTTAAAGTGTTTTATGCTGTACCTTAGCTATCTGAGATAAGTGTGCTAAATCTCAGTCACTTCATACCTCAACTAGAATAAGCCGCAATCATGTCTGGATTAATATGGTATCTTCCCCAGCATGCATCACTCCTCCTTACTCTATCTTGAGAAAAGTGACTTCCTCCCTCCCAAGCAGAGATCCATAAAACCTTACCAATACACTTTTGTTCTTAATCTTCAACAGGTTGGCATTGTAAGCAGAACATGTCATGTCACTATTTTTCCATGTGTCATAATTATTAGATAGTTTATAACAGCGGTCCTCATGCCACATCCATCTTTTTGGACAAGGTTTACATCTATGCTCTGGAAGAAGAATGCTGTTTCATTTGGTGTGTGTTGATAGACTTCATTATTCTCATGATTCTCATTGTCCTCTATGTTAGATTAACCAAATTTACTTGTCTTTCTTCTTCTTACAACAAAGACAAAGGAAATCTATCTTGTATTTTAAGCCCATATATATATCACCACAATGTGTCTAAAATATATTGGGTTGCCCAAAAAGTCCATTTAGGTTTTTTCATAAAATAAAAGACACGTTTTTTTTTCATTTTCACCAATAATTTTATTGATTGGGATATTTTGCATATGTCAGCTATCTCCCATTATTGGCTTCTAGTGAGTGGAGTCCAGGGGTGCTGCTAAACATCTTCCAATGTCTAGGACAATACCACAACAAAGAATTATTTGGCAAAAATATCAATAGTACCAACAAACTTTGTAAACCACTTTTGACATGTTTCATCAGTCACAGCACTTTCTCCATATATGGCACAAGTCTTTTTTTTGCATTTTTACCTTTCTTGAAATAATAAAGCATAATATACTGACAATGTTGCATATTCTTTTATCTTCAATATTAAAATGACTGCACAAATACATCAATTTAGATAAGTTTTATGTTTAAATGCATGCTGATATGACAGTTACTACAATACAATCTAACAAAGTTTTTTGAATGAAGTTAAGGACAACTAAGCACTACTAGAGCCATCGTATGAAAAAAAAAAACTAAATGAACTGTTTGGCCAAACTAATAATTTGAGCAACACATTTCAAATTAAAAAAATTGGATTCCAGCATATTTTCCCACCTCAGGAGCCCTGGATAATTATTAAGACAATTCTCTTTTTGTCATTCTTTAAAATTACTACATGGTAATAAAGGTTAGTCACAAGAAATATTGGGTGGTGAGAATCAACCCCATAAACATCAATCCTGCCTTCTCCAGCTATGCTATTTCTAGCTCTGACTTGTTGAATATTTGGGTGACTTTGCAAGAGCAGAAAGAAGATACTTTACTTATTACAGTGATAGAAAGTGTTAGAGATATTAAAAGACAAATATCTTCCAATTCTAAGGGTAAGGTTTAACTTTATTTTCTCTCGGCTCTCATTAAAAATTCACTGAGGTGAGCAAAAGGGCAACTCTAAATTGAACAATGATAAAATAAAATAAAAATAAACAAATGTGAAAAATTAACTGAAATTTAGGGCACTTTTAAAGAGATACCCTTTTCTCTCTATCATCTGTTGACCTCAATACCAGCAAAAATCTAGTGAATGTCAGATCAGAGAAATTGTACATTGTTTAATGTCTCATTAAGTTATTGCCATCTCCTTTAATTTTGGGACCTATGTTATTATTACTTTTTCTGTTTTTCTTCTAAATGCATAGAAATATCAATTTCTCTGTCAAATACATCTCATTCCTTTTCTCCAAAAATGACTTCCTAGGAAAAGACTGATTCTCAAGTGACACCTAGGTTTTGTTCATTGTCTAATAAATAACTTAGAGATGGATAGAGGATTACCTGGTTCTTTTCTATATAGCTCATAACATAATTTGGTAGCCAGTTCCTGCAGTGTGGTAGAGATGTTCCTGATCTTCTTGCAAATGTCCATATTATACATCAGTTGTAGAGAAACATTTTTCTGAAGTTCTTCTTTGACATTTTGTAGTTTTTTTAATTTTCCCATTTCTCTCTTTAAAGTTAGGTGAACTCCAGATAAGAAAAAGAAAATGATTTTAAAATTTTAATCTTTTAGTAGACCCACAACTGCCTTTTTGCTGAAATAGTTGTAAGACTATTAGGAGGATCCAAGATGGTGGAGGAGTGAGTGGAAGTTACACTAAGTTCCTTCCACAACCAATCTGGAATTACAACAAAACTATGGAGAAATCATCCGGAATAAACAACTGAACAATAGTAGGAGAGAAGTCTTATAACCACAGACAGACAGAAGAAACACAACACAATGTGACTGATAAGGATTGTGGAGATGTGAGAGGGCTGGCTGGGTTCACATGAGTGGCAGTTAAAGTACTGGAGGGATATCTCAGCAGACGGGGGGGTTCCCCCTGAGAAGTGTGGGGTCTAAACCCCAAGCTGTGCTCCCCAGATTACATCTCCAGAGCCTGAAAAGTATACAGATAACATCAAGCTGCAAAAAGTGGCAGGGTTTCTCTCTGACAGAGACGTATGGCTGGAGAGGCAGAGAGGCATTTAAAGGGCCAATGCATAAAATTTTCACATGCAACCACTTACCCTGCACACTGGCAAATGTGGGGGGGGGGGTGCAGAGTGCACTAAAGATGCTTGAGGAGAGACTGGAGATGGTAGCCTTGGGGAGAGAACTGAGAGAGGAGCCACCAGGATTTCAGTGCTAAGTCATCCCCCAGACTGCAGAAGCCATCTTGCTCAGGCATACCATGACCCTCTGAGAGGCATCAGCCTGAGGGGAAGCAATAGCCCTGCCCCATAGGAGAGACTCTGCTCCACCCTGTGGTGCTTAAGCCCAACTGCAGAGTGGAGAATGACTAGATTAACAACTCAAGGAGTCAGCCACAGAGGGTAGATCTCTGGTAGTCTTGAATAGGCTGCCAAAGCCCAGACTGGGATACCATCTGACATCACTAAAGGTGCATCCAGAAAGAAAAAACAATGGTAAATACTAGATGCTACTGAGATGAATTCCACCATGGTTTTCTCTATAATGTGCAATATTTTCTTTTCTGCACAGTTCATTAACATGCATTTCTTGTCCTTAAAGAGCATGCATATTAAGTCAGTAGATTTTATATTATAGTTTATTTCAACTCTTACATTTTGCTCCTCCCTTCTCTTACCCCATTTTACCTTCTCCTTTCCTCTTGTTATTTTCATTTTAAATTTTGTTTTCTCTCTTGCTACAGCTTGTTTCCATTCTGCACGCTTACTTTTCTCTCTTGTCCAGTCTCTCAAAACCAATTGTCTTATAGTCATCTCACAATCTTCTTCCTGTTCTTTTTTTTAATTGTTTTAAAGATTTTATTTATTTATCTTTTAGAGGGAAAGGGAAGGAGAGAGGGAGAGAAACATCAATGTATGGTTGCTTTTCGTGCGTCCCCTGCAGGGAACTGGCCTGCAACCCAAGAATGTGCCCTGACTGGGAATTGAACCATGACTGTCTGGTTCACAGGCCCATGCTCAATCCACTGAGCTACACCAGCCAGGGCCTTCTTCCTGTTCTTTTTTTTTTTTTTAAGATTTTATTTATTTATCTTTAGAGGGGAAGGGAAGGAGAGAGGGAGAGAAACATCAATGTATGGTTGCCTTTCATGCGTCCCCTGCTGGGAATTGGTCTGCAAGGAACTGGTCTGCAACCCAGGCATGTGCCCTGACTGGGAATCGAACCGCGATGCCTGTTCTTAAAATACTCACTTTCTCTCTCCACCTTTAGCAATCTTTGCTCATTGTTTGTGGATATAGTAGTTCTTATTGCATTTTTTCAATTTTATCTCTAGATATTAATTACCCTCATGTTTCAAATCTCAAATTTTACCATTCCTCTCTCCTACTCTATTCTGCCTTCATCTGGCCCATTCTTTTTTATCTCAAAGTTTAATTTTTCTCTGTCTTGGCCTGGTTTTCATTCCTCACTCTTAGTATTCTTTCTTCTATCATCTCAAAATCACTTTCTTTTTCTCTAGCCATCTCTTAAACATTTTTCTTTCTTTTCCCCCTCTTATTTCCATTTCACTTATATTAGTCTTAGCTCATTTATTGTTGATATGTACTGTGGTGGATCTTTTCCTCCAATTTGTTTTCTATTTTTTATTATTTATTTACTGTTTTACTTTTTCATTCTCTCTCTCACTTTATTTTTTATTTTCTGTTTAAACCTAATACTATACACTTCCCTTCTCCCCAACCCCATTCTGCCTTCTTCACTTTTTTATTTGTAGTGTAAATTTTACTTTCTCTCTTTGCATTGTTCCAATTCCCTACCCTCTTTAGTGCACTTCCCTCTACCCTCTCAAACTCATTTTTCTTTCAGTTAGTCACCTCAGATCGGCTTCTCCTTTATTATATTAGTCTTAATCTCTTTACACCCTTATTAATTAATACTAACTCATTTGTTCTTGATAGTGCAATTGTAGGTGGGTATTATTTTTGCAGGTGTGGGGTTTTTTCCTGGGCTTTGTGGTTTTGTTCTGGCAGCACCTACACAATAGCATACAAGAAATGGTTGGTGGAATGACCCTCAGTCAGCCAGCTGGAGGGGAAGAGCCAACAAAGAATGACCCAACAATAATCAAAGCCAAGTTACATCCAGAGAGCTAACATAAAAGGCATAAAGAGCATTCCAAGGGCATCAAGTTCAGGAGATCAAAGAGACTGCATTACTGAATTCCACAGATCTTCTACCATAGCAGTTCATACCACAAAGACAGAGAACCAAAGCAGATCATTTTGAGAAACAGAAACAAACAAGAAAAGTCTCCCCTAAAACGGTGAACAAAGAAACAACACCTAATTGAAAGGAAAGGAGGAATCCCCAGAAAGTGGCTAAATGAAATAGAGGCAAGTCAACTATCAGATAGTGAGTTCAAACCAGTGTTTATAAGGAAGCTCAATGAGCTCAGTGAGAATTACAAAGAGCTACAGGAAAGCTACAAGGAACTTGTTTGAACTACATCAGCATGAAAAAGGACATAGAAACTATGAGTAAGAGCTGGGAGGAAGTAAAGAATACAACTTTTGAATTGAAAAACACAGTAGAAGGGATTAAAAACAGGAAGACAAGGTATAAAAAAATCCCACGAAGAGCAAGAGAAGGAGAAAAGGCTAAAAAAGAATAAATATGGGTTAAGAAAGCTGAAGAATAACATGAAAAATAATAATATCCATATAATAAGGATACCAGAAGAAGAAGAGGAGGAGCAAGGGGTAGAAAACTTGTTTCAAAAGGTGATGATAGAAAATTTTCCTAACTTGATAGGAGAAAAAGTCATAAAACAGAGAGAGTCCCAAACAAGATGAACCAAAGAGGCCCACTCCAAGACACATCATAATTAAAATTGCAAAATTCAAAGACAAAGAGACAATCTTTGTCAAAGAGAGACAAAGGCAGCAAGAAGAAACAGGAAGTAACATACAAAGGATCTTCCATAAGAATATGAGCTGATTTCTCAACAGAAGCACTACAAGCCAGAACGGAATGGCAAGAAATAGTACAAGTAGTGAAAAGCAAAGGCCTGCAACCAAGACTCCTCTACCCAGCAAGGCTCTTGGTTAAAATGGAAGGTGAATTAAAGAGTTTCCCAGACAAGAGAAGGCTAAAGGAGTACACCCTGACCAAACCAGCATTGCAGGACATGCTGAAGGGGCTGCTTTAAGAAGATAAAGAAAAAGAGTGTGAGAGAGGGTACATCGCTACAAAGGGGGAAAATGGAAATGAATAAGAGCCTATCAGTAATAACTTTAGATGTGAATAGATTAAACGCTCTGATCAAAAAACAGAGGGTAGCTGAATAGGTGGGAAAACATGACCTACATATATGCTGCCTAAAGAGATGTATCTGAGAACAAAAGGCCTACAAAGATTGGAAATGAAAGGTTGGGAGAAAATATACCAATAAAAAGGACAATGAAAAATGCCAGGGTTGCAATTTATTTGCAATAGATTAGACAAAATAGACTTCTAAACAAAGGGCATAAAGAACATGGAAAGACACTTCATAATACCCAATGGTAGAATCCATCAAGAAGACATAAACATCATAAACATATATGCACCCAATATAGGAGCTCCCAAATATATAAGGAAAATCTTGGAGAACTTCAAGAAAGATATAGACAGAAACACACTTATAGTAGGGGATTTTAACAACTTACTGTCAATATCGGATAGCTCTTCCAAACAAAGAATCAACAAGGATATTGTGGTACTGAATGACAAACTAGATCAACTGAACTTAATTGATATATACAGAACCTTTCACCCCCCAAAAACAAAATACACATTCTATTCAATGCACATGGAATACTTTCAAAGATAGACCACATGATATGTCACAAAACAAGTCTCAACAAATTTGAGAAAATTGAAGTAGTATCAAGCATCTTTTCAGATCATAATGGCTTTAAACTAAAAACCAAGCTAAAGAAAAAAACAGATTCATGGATACTGAATAACACATCATTAAACAATAAATGGGTTAACAATGACATCAAGGAAGAAATAAACAAATTTCAGGAAACAAATGAGAATGAACAAACAACTGCCCAAAACTGATGGGACACAGAAAATGCAGTCCTGAGAGAGAAGATCATAGCAATACAGACCCACCTAAAAGGAGATAGAAAAATCTCAAATAAACAACCTAACCCCACATCTAAAAGAACTGGAAAAATAACAACAAACAAAGCCCAGAGTCAGTATAAAGGAAATAATCAAGATTACAACAAAATTAAAAGACATAGAGCCTATAAGAACAATTCAAAGGATCAATAATCCAGGAGCCAGTTCTTTAAAAAGATAAATAAGATTGACAAGTCTTTAACAGCTTATCAAAAAAAAAGCATGAAGACACAAATAAATAAAAATCAGAAAAGAAAGAGGAGAAATTACAACTGATACCACAGAAATACAAAGGATTATAAAAAATTACTATGAACACTATATGCTAAGAAATTTTAAAATCTAGTTAAAATGGATAAATTTTTAGAACCATATAATCTTCCAAAACTGAATCAAGAAGAAGCATAAATCCTGAACAGACAATAGCAGCTAGTGAAATTGAAGCAGTAATCAACAAACTCCCAGCACTCAAAAGCCCTGTACCAAACAGTTTCACAGAAGAATTTTACGAAACTATTAGGAAGAGCTAACTGCTATCCTTCTCAAATTATTCCCCCAAATCCAAGAAGATGAAATTCCCCTGAACTCTTTTTATGAGGCCAGCATCATCCTAAACCCAAAACCAGATGCAGACACAACAAAGAAGGAAAACTACAGGCCAATATCACTGATGAACATAGATGATAAAATTCTCAACAAAATATATTGGCAAACCAGATCCAGAAATACACTAAAAAGTTTATGCACTATCATTAAGTGGGATTCATCTCAGAGATGCAAGGATGCTACAATATTTGCAAATCAACAAATGTAATACATCACATAAACAAAATGAAAGATAAAAATCACATGATCATATCAATAGATGCAGAAAAAGCATTTGATAAGGTACAGCACCCATACATGATAAAAACACTCAGCAAAGTGGAAGTAGAGTGAGCATTTCTCAACATAATAAAGGCCGTATATGAGAAACCTACAGCCAACATCATACTCAATGGGCAAAAACTAAAAGCTTTCCTCTAAGATCAGGAACAAGACAAGGGTGCCATCTCTCACCACTTCTTTTCAGCACAGATTTGAAGTTGTAGCTACAGTGAACAGACAAGAAAAATAAATAAAAGGCATACAAATTGGAAAGGAGGAAATGAAACTGTCATTGTTTGCAGGTGAAATGATAGTATACAAAGAAAACCCTATAAACTGCAGCAAAAACTATTCAACTTTTTAAAAAATATTTTATTATTTATTTATCTTTAGAGGGGAAGGGGGGAAAGGAGAGAGGGAGAGAAACATCAATGTATGGTTGCCTTTTGTGCGTCCCCTGCTGGGAACTGGCCTGCAGGGAACCGGCCTGCAACCCAGGCATGTGCCCTGACTGGGAATCGAACCGCGATCGTGTGGTTTGCAGGTCCGCGCTCAATCCACTGAGGTACACCAGCCAGGGCAAAACTATTCAACTTAGTAAGTGAACTTGGCAAAACAGCAATTACAAAGTCAATATAGAGAAATTGAAAGCATTTTTATATACAATGACATATCAGACACAGAAAATAGGAAAAAAAACATTTACTATAGCAATAAGAAAAATGAAGTACCTAGAAATAATTTTCTTTAATATTTTATTTATTTATCTTTAGAGGGGAAGAGAAGGAGAGAGGGAGAGAATATCAATGTATGGTTGCCTCTGGTGGGTCCCCTGCTGGGAACTGGCCCGCAACCCAGGCATGTGCCCTGACTAGGAATCGAACTTCGATCCTCTGGTTCACAGGCCCACGTTCAATCCACTGAGCTACACCAGCCAGGGCCCTAGGAATAAATTTAACTAAGGAGGTGAAAGACCTGTACTCAGAAAACTACACAACACTGAAGAAAGAAATTAAGGAAGACACAAATAAATGGAAGCATATACCATGTTCATGGATTAGAAGAACTAACATAATTAAAATCTCTATATTACCCAAAGCAACTTATAGATTCAATGCAATACCTATTAAAATAACATGACGTATTTCACAGATATAGAACAAATACATCAAAAATTTATATGGAACTACAAACAACCCAGAATAGCCTCAGCAATTTTGAGAAAGAAAAACAAAGTGGTAGGGATCACAATACCTGATAGCAAACCATTTTGATTACATGGCCTCTATAATCAAAACAGTCTGGTACTGGCATAAGAATATACACACAAACCAATGTAACAGAACAGAGAGCCTAGAAATAAACCCATATCTCTATGGCTAATTAATATTCAACAAAGGAGCAGGAGCATAAAATCAAGTAAAAATAGCATCTTCAGCAAATGGTGTTGGAAGATCTGGACGGCTACTTGCAAAAAATGAAACTAGACCTCCAACTTGCACCATACACAAAAATAAACTCAAAACAAGTAAAAGACTTAAATGTAAGTTGTGAGACCATAAAAGTCCTAGAGTAGAACATAAGGAGGAAAATTTCAGATATTCCATGCAGCAATGTTTTCATCGATATGTCCCCTAGAACAAGGGATATAAAGGGAAGAATATACAAATAGAACTTCATCAAACTAAAAAGCTCCTGCATGGCTAAATGAAACATGAGCAAAATGAAAAAGGAACCAACCAAATGGGAAAAATATTTTCCAATAAATTTCAGACAAAGGTTTGATCTCAAAGATTTATAAAGAACTCATACGACTCCACTCCAGGAAGACAAACAATCCAATTAAAAAATAAGCAAAGGACCTGAACAGACACTTCTCCAAGGAGGACATACAGAGGGCTCAGAGACACATAAAAAGATGTTCAGCATCACCAGCCATCAGAGATGCAAATTAAAACTACAATGAGATACTACTTCAAAACAGTCCGAAAAGCCATCATTAATAAATCAACAAATAACAAGTGCCATTGAGAATGAGAAAGTGGAACCCTAGTGTACTGTTACTGGGAATGAAGACTGGTGCAGCCACTGTGGAAAAGTGGAAAACAGTATGGAATTTCCTCAAAAAACTAAAACTAAAAATGGAACTACCTTTTGACCCAGCAGTTCCACTGCTGGGAATATATCCTAAGAATCCTGAATCATCAATTTAAAAGAGCCTAGGTACCCCAATGTTCATAGCAGCATTATTTACAATAGCTAAGTGATGGTAACTGCCTAAATGCCCACCAGTAAATGAGTGGATCAAAAAACTGTGGTACGTTTACACAGTGGGATACTACACAGCAGAAAAAGGAATTCCTACCCTTTGTCACAGAATGAATGAAACTGGAGAGAATTATGCTAAGTGAAATAAGCCAGGTAAAAGACAAATACCATATGGTTTCACCTAAAACTGGAACATAAACAACAAAACAAAAAGCAAGCAAAATAGAGCCAGAGGCCCGGAAATAAAGAACAAACTGACAGTAATCAGAGGGGTGGGGAGAGGGGGATACTGTGGGAAGAAAGGGCACGGTCAAGTCAGGGAACGCATGTAAGGGATCCATAGACAAGGACAGTGGAGAGGAGATTGATTGTGGGAGGTGGCATTGGGCAGGGCAGGGGAGAGCAATGGGGAAAAATCAGGCCAGTATAACTGAACAATAATAAAATTTTTTTGAAGAATATTAAATGTCTAGAGCATTCATTTCACAGGAGTGAGGGAAAGAGATTATCATACTGCAAAAACTTACTTATAAGTCCTCTTTTTGTTTACATATAACTTATAATCACTCCAAAGCCTCTATTCAAATAGTGAACTTCCTTGTAAAACTCATATAATTCTAGGTGTCTTTCTTTTCAATCAAAACATGGGTAATACATACACATGCTTCCTAAGACTCCCAGTCCAATCACCAGCAGAAGGCACAGGAGCGTAAGAGCCAATTCTCTTTTACGTAACCCATGGAAAGGAGCAGGAGGTGCTGTGGAAAGCAAAATTGGCAAAGAGAACAGGAAATGATATACATCTGAATTTGACTGATTGATTGATTGATCCATTCATTCAGGTTGCATTTTCTTTCCTAATATATACATGGTAAAGTAATGACATGCAAGGACACCTTAAAATACTTTTTAAAAAAATGTCAAGAAATAGTCAAAAATAATTTTCAGCTTTTTTGCATTAAACTAGTTTTCAAGGAGACTTGTTCATTGTTAGGCTGATTCAAGAAACACAGGCAAAAAAATAGTTTACATAAGAAAAGTAAGTAACCTATTCAATCTGGACACAATATATCTTTTCCGTAAAAATTGGAGGAACTGAGTATGAGGCAGGTAATGGAAGTCAATTTGAGTGGACTCCTTGTTTGAGTGGACAATCGGGGGATGTCAAAGAAAATATTTTCAGTTACGTATGTTTTCCCCAGAAAATCATTTCTGTGGAGCATAGTTAGTGATAGGCTGTCCCTTCTGAGGTCTCTGGATGTCCTCATAAAGCGGTATCATTGCTTCCTTAAATTTGTTTTATTGTTTTCTAACAACAAACTTTTGTTGATTGTTTTCTTTTTACTAAAGAGTAAAGCCCAAGGCAATTTCCTGATTTACAAAAGCATGATTTATGAACTTTATATGATAATTATTGTACTTAAAAATGGAACAGGAGATATTAAAACTGAAAGCACAGAAATACAAGATCATAACAGACTGCTGTGAACAATTAATTATATGCAAACAAAATTGGATAACCAGAAAAAGAATAAATTTCTAAAAGCTCACCATGATTTAATCATAATTAAGTAGAAAATTTGAACAGATTTATTACTTGTAAGAAGATTGAATCAGCAAGCAAAAATCTCTCAACAAACAAAATTCCAGGACCATACAACTTTACTGGAAAATTTTACCAATATTCAAGAAAAATTTAACACCAATATTTCTCAAAGTCTTCCAAAAAATAAGAGGGAACACTTCCAAACTCACTTAAAAGGCCAGCAATACCTTGATACCAAAAGCAGACAAGGATACTAAAAGAAAACAAAATTACAGACTAATATTTCTTATGAATGTAGATGAAAAATCATGAACAAAATATTAGCAAACTGAATTAAAAAATAATTTTAAAAATTATATACCCTGATCAAGTGGAGTTTATTCCAGGTTTTCAAAGATGGTTCAACTTCCACACATCAGTCAGTGTGATACCCACATTAACAGAAAAAAGGATAAAAATCATTTGATCTTCTCAAAAGATGCAGAAAAAGTATACTACAAAATCCAACCTCAATTTATAATAAAACTAAACAAAGTGTGTATAGAAATAATATACCTCAACATAATAAGAACTATACATGTTAAGCCCATACATAGCTAATATCATACTTACTAGTGAAAAGCTAAATGCTTTTCCTCTAAAATCAGGAACTAGATAAGGATGCTCATTCTTGACACTTTTTATTCAACATAGTTTTGGAAGCCTTAGTCATCCAAATTGGAAAGGAAAAAGTACAACTGTCACTATTTACAGATGGTATGATATTACATATAGAAAACCCTAAATCCTAAAAAAAAAACTATTAGAACTAGTAAGCAAATTCAGTGAAATTGGGGATACAAATTCAATACACAAAAATCAGTTGCATTTCTACATACTATTAATGAACTATCTGAAAGACATATTAAGATAAAAATCCCATTTATAATGGCATCAATAAAGAATGAAATACCTAAAAATAAATTTAACCAAGAAGGTGAAAACCTTTATATTGAAGACCACAAGACATTAAAGAACTGATGAGAACACAAATAAGTGGAAAGTTTTCATGCTCATGGGTTGAAATGATAATTGCTAAAATATCTGTCCTACTCAAGCAATATATAGATCAGCGCAATTTTTCTTAAAATTCTAATTGTATTTTTCTCAGAAATACATCAAACAATGCTAAAATTTGTATAGAACCATAAAAGGCCATGAATAGCCAAAGCAATCAATCTTTGGAAAGAAGAACAAAGCTAGAGATGTTACATTCTCTGATTTCAAAGCACAGTTGAAGTTTTTCAAAGAAAAAAAACACAGTACATTGAAAGTATATATACAAGATAGTAAGGGTAGATATTACATACTATGAAGTTCACACTATACAATATAAACTTTAAGCTAGATAATGAGAAATGTAGATAAAATTCAATAGTGAATAAGGCATGTTTTCAAGTTTTCTAGAGAGTCAAAGAATTTCCAAAGTGGAAATTTAGGATAAAACAGATTAGTAGAATCAGAGATGAGAATGAATGCATTAGGGAATAGAAACAATAATTGTATATTAAATTAATGTTATGTGCATCTTCTTATACTATAAAATGGAGAAATATGAACAAGGAAATTAAGATAAAAATATCGCAAATTTTTAATTGCCCCTTCTTTAAAATAAATCTATATTAAAGGACAATTTCACAAAAATGAGCTGTTTTTCTATCTAAACTTTTACCATGCTGATGATAAACAGATGCAATAACAAACAGCAAAAATTGTATTCAGAGTAATGTTAGCATTTAAAAGAATGTCACATTTTATGGGAAAATAAGAACTTAATAAAATATGGGAATTCTTCTATTACTCCCCTCTCATAATTCCACTATTCCTATAAACTTCTTGACTTCTCTGTAACTACTGTTTATTTTATTTCTAACATAAATACATTGAGTTCAAATATGGATATCCTTGGGCAGATTTCACCCAAAAGGCCAGGAGCCAGAAGGTAGGAACTGTGTATAATAAGAGGAATATGGGATAATAAGAGGAATAAGTAGGATGGAAATGAAAGTATATTTTAATGGAGTATAAACTGGTAGTCATCACAGGTATTCCATTTGCATCATAATTTAAATTAGAATGGAAGAATACAAAGCTTCCAGGTATAGTGTAGTTTTGAATGTTTTATCTTCAAATATTTCTTTGTATCTTTTCTTTCTTAATCCTTTAATGTGTCCTTTATTTAACTTAAACTCTTCTCTATTTTATTAATTTGGGGAAAGATTGCCAAAAAAGGAGTATTAGCACAATATATGCTTGATTGGTAGAATATGAAATAAAATCAGTTATCTCTGACTCTCTCTCTCTCATAGACACACACACACACACACACACACACACACACACACACAGACAAGCTTTTTTTTTATAAAAAGGAGTACAAATAGCTATGACTTTTCTTGACTTCCTTTCATGGGGAAAACAAACATTTCACAATCTAGCCATATTAAAAAATAGTATTCTATTTATTATCTTGAGTGTTATATTAAAAGATAATTTTTTTAATTTTGAAAGATTGAATGTTCAAGATGCTGATTAATGTCTTTTTTAAAAACCCCTTTATAATAATTTCCTATGAACATTTTTGGTGCCTTTGATAAAAATAAGAAGCTTAATTAAAATTCCAAGTTGAAGGTCATTGTCAATTTATTAGTATCTACGGTGCAGAACTACTACCCTGACCCTTCTATCACCTTCTATACTCCCCTTGTACCAGCTTACAGAACACCCATAGCTCAAAATCTTACCTTTTATGCCAACTTGGTCAAACTTCTGCACATGTTCTATCTCGCTGGAGTCCTGGAACTTTAGATTTGCATAAGTAACTTCTTCAGACATAGATGGTTATGAAAAGAAAGCTTGACAAACTTTAAAAGATGAAGGTAACCTAGCAGTTGTGATTTTCAATTCGGTTTATAAACTGAAGCTGAACAGGACAAGCTTAAACTTCTGTTTTCAAAATCCACTGTACCAACCACTCATAGGTGTTGAAATGAGCGGCTGCCCTGTGATGGCCTCAGACAAGAACAGAGAGCTGGTACAGGAGAGAAACCCTTCCTCTTATCTCTTCCCTTTTCTCATTTCTCTGTGTCTACCAACTACAGCTTTCGAAATTGTGTCTGGATATATATTATCAGCGTTGTGAAAGAGGTGTGAATCACTAGTGCAACATGATGCAGATACAACAGAATTTATTGGATACAAACTTTCAAGCAGAGAAGTAATAAAAGGGACACAATCCTCAAACACTCACTACTCTACAGAAATGGCTGACACCATGTTCTGCCCATGTGATGGCAAAGGTTCAGATAGACAGGGTTTGCCATAGCCGGGAAGCTGCACTACACAGAGAGCACTCCTAGAGAAAGGAAGAGTTTAAGTTCAACCTTACCACCTTGTTACAAAGGCACGGGCTAGCCAAAAGGAGATAGGGAATACCTAGTTTCTTAGCATCAAGAAATATACTAAGGGACCTCGAGTCCCTGGAACCATGCTAGGGAGTGTGCATACCGAGGTTGGTATGCCAAAGGTCCTAGAAATAGCTGTGCAAGGCAGGAAAGCTGAGATCAACATTGCTGTCTTTCTGCAGCCTGGCTCAGTCATTTTGAGACAGCTCTCAGCTAAGCTACCAAAAGGAGGAAGGAAATGAGTCTCCATCCAGGGTTACGCAGGCAGGTGTTGGGTAAGTATCATGCAAAATCTCAAGGGGCAGAGGTTCATTGATTTCTTGATCAAGTATGCAAGGTGGAGGTTGGGGTTGTGGGATGATTGTGTTTGAGTACAGTAATTTCTTTCTAATTTGCATTAGTAACTCTGACCTTAAAATTCTTGTTGGTATTACCACACATAAATACCATAAAATAGATAGGCAGTTTTATTTTACTAAATAGAATGTATACAGATTTTTAAAGTATTTAATAAAAATTGACTTTTGTTATATATTAGAATAGACAGTAAAAATAAAATTAAAAATGTCTCTTTCACAAGAGCTACTAAAGAAGAAAAAATGCAGATTCAAAATAATTAAGAATACATACAACCAAAATGAAGAAAACTTTAAAACTATTGAACAAAAGAAAAAATTAAAAATAGGAAAACATGCTTCTGTATTGCAAGCATCAATATGATAAGAAAAAGTCGCTTCCCCTAAATGTATCTAAACATCCAATGTCAACTAAATTAAAATGCTAGTACATTTTCCCCTGGAGCACAACCCAGACACATGATCTGCCTGGGAATAGAACCAGTGACCATTTGGTGTGCAGGCTGGCACTCAATCCACTGAGCCACACCAGCCAGGGCCCAATTATTTTTTAAAACCCAATTTCCTCCTGTTTTTCAAATACCACACACACACATGCACACGCATATGCACAAGCAAACACACACCCAGGCTCCCTCTAGCTAGGTAGGGTCTCATCATCAATCCAGTCCAATCTTAATTCTTCTCTTTCATTGAACAAAACAAGTCTAACCAAATTCAACAAAGACTATATTTTTACTATATCCATTGAATATTTCTTGTCTTTTAACTTACAGGTAAGTAGTTTTTCTGGAATATTTACTTCCAAACAAGTACCACAGATACAGAAGCAACAATATTTGCTTAGCTGTTCTCTCTTAGAAATATTTGATGCCAACGGCTACCCCTGTCTTCTTAAACATATTTATCTCTTGGATTCCATCTTGCTGTCGCTTAATCCTCAATGAAATTATTTTAACTTCAGTTATGATTTATCTCAGTTCTAGAACTTTTATTTGACTCTTGAATTATTTCCATGTTGTTGAAATTCTTTATACTTTTCTCTCATTATTTGACACATGAATCACTTTTATTTTAAAACTCCTATCTGATATTATCTGTGCCTGAAACATTTGGCTTATCAACCAGTGTTTTGCCTTTTGTTCTCTTCCATTTTTAAGGCTTTCTCATACTTTTTTATTAAATGACAGATATTTTATACAAAACTTATCTTTCTACAAAGAAGCTATTTTTTTCTTGCAGGCAGGTAAAATATATACAATAAATCATGAGCAATTGGAGTCCCTCAATTTCTGTCTCCTTAGTTGTTTTAAATTTTTGTCCAGCTTTTATAATAATATTTTTGTAGGAGGCTTCATGTGATATATGTCACAGGTCAATGGCTAAAATGAGGTCTCCCTATTGCTCATTTTATAAAACCTACTGAGCATATAGGAGCTAGTGGTCAAACAATGCATTCACATCAGTTTTTCTAGAACAACATTTGGTAGGGGACAATATCATAGATGCAGAAGCAATCGCAGCTGTCTAGCTGTCTCTCACCTATCCCACTCTGGGGCAATGCCCAGCCATCTGGCGGGTCTGAACGTCACATGCCAGGGAGGAATTCTAATGTTGCACATGGGTGTTTTAGATGCCTGGCTGGGGGAATCAGCTGCTTCTCTGCTGGAAGGATTACATTAAGGATTACATTCTAAGCATTTTGGTGATGGCAGTATAGCATGGAAAAATCTTGCCTCTCCCTTATTCTGCTGCCTCACCATTTTCACCACAAAAACCACTAGCTTTACTTCTTACATCTATAACTCTAATAAGTGTCTGAACCTGTCAGCTGAGACCTCAGTGAAGCACACTATCCACGCTGACTGTCTTAGGCCCTCAGCTGTAGCCAGTTACTTTGGAAACTCACAGGAGCTAACCCTGCTGCAAATCTGTTTTCATGAATTAGTTCTTTCCTTTCTTTTTAGACTTGACTCCAAAATGTGGCTGACATTTATTCCTCTCCAGCTGGACCCCTGCTTCAGTGTGTAAGGGCTGCATGTCTGCATCTCTGGAGCACACAGCACCAAGAGGGGAAGACTCAAGTTCACTCAGTGTATAGAAAATTGGAAAGAGCATCATTCCTGTTTTCGTGATGACTAATTGTTAGGTCTTTCAAAACTTAAAACTTCTCTTACACTCAGAAATCTGAGGTCACAGAGCAGTTAACTAAACTGAAAACTAAGGAAAGAAAGGCACATTCAAGGAGAGACAAGGCATGAAAATTTGTTTACCTGGGATGATAAATAACAACTGGTATAAACTGTTATAAAAAATTCAGCCAGAGTTTTTAACCAGTTGCTAAAGGCAGAGTGTGGATTTGCATGAGAGCACAGAACTCTGAGCTGCAGATCCAACAGCAAATCTCACCTACTTGAAGGGACTTTACAGACCTCACCGGATATGAAAGTTTGAGAGCAAGTTAGGAGACTTTAGAAAGTTTCCCTTCTGTTGCAGGCCTGGGGGAGGGGAAGAGCAGTCTTTGCACAAACGACACAGTGCCCAGCCTGGAAATTTCTCCCCCGTGGAACAAAAGCCTGAAACCACTGGGAGCGAAGCAGCAAACTCACCCTCTCAGGCCACAGGTGAAGGACATGTCAGCTAAAAATGAAATAGGAACTTCACAGTCCTGGGGGAAAGGCAGAAAAACACCTTGATAGCATTTACACTGGTTTCTAGAAGACCTCTGCTAAGTTCCGCTCTAGCTATTCTCAGTGGTTACATGCTTGATGTTGCACTCTGTCCAATTCCAGTCCTTTTGGTGTTTTTCACCTTCCAAATAAACTGCTCTCTCTGGATTCCTCAGGGCCTGCTTCCAAGCATATCATGCTGTCCTTTGCTCCTTCCCTTTTCCAGGATCTTTGCACCCTTGCAGGGCCAACGATCTATGTGTCCTTTGCTGGTTGTTCCTGTCCTTGGAACAACCTGTCCCTGGTCTACATCACTAACTTGGGGTTCACACAGAGGTGTAAACAGAAAATTGAAAAAAAAATCACACCAAGCCATGGAACACCTAACAACTTAAAAGATAAAAGAATTTCTTATGACCTAAGCAGAGTTGTCACATAAAACAAAAAATATCCAGTTAAGTTTAAATTTCAGAAAAAATGGTTAAATTTTAGTGTATTTCTCATGCAAAGTTTGTGTTTATTATATTTGCAGTGTTTTCAGTTGACCTGAAATTCAAATTCAACTGGAAATTCCGTATTTTAATTTGCTAAATTTCACCACCCTATGTGTACATGAGTGAACTGGCTAAGAAAAATGAAGACAAATTCGTATAGGCAGCAAAAATTCCTTTAGTGGAAAGAAAGGTTTGTTCTGACTAGTGCCTCAAAAGCATACTTTCCATATACATGTCAGCAAATCTATCCATTACCCAATTTCATGCTTTTCATCGAATTTATCAAGTATTAAGGTCCAGTTAATGTTTTGCAAATGACTGAACGAAATCAGAAATTCACTGTGGTTGTTATTTATTTATTTATTTATTTATTTATTTATTTATGTCAGGCTCTGGCCTTTACAAGTCACAGAAAGCTTACTAATTAAAACAGGGACATAGCTACTAAGATTTCTGCAGTCAGTTAACTAGTAAAGGAAACTGCATAGCACAACCTTCTAAACCCAGGCTGCCACAATAAATGGAAAGAAATAGTGAGAAACTGAGGCCTATGTACTTACACAACAGAATATTTGCTCCAGTACTGACCAGCTCTACCTTTGCTTATTTCTAAATGCCACTGGCGATACAGTGGAGAACAGCACCCCACATACTCCATGCAGCAGTCGTGGGGGTGAGATGAATGAAGAGAATGTTGCCAGGCAACCAACTCAACCCCAGCCCATCAGATCGCTGCATCCTTGACAGTGCAGGCTGTGGTGGTTTTCTTCCATTTTCTGGGTTATTGCACCTCAAGGCAGTTGGATTCCAAATTTCACAAAATGTAGCTACCAATAATACAATATCAATAATAATTCTTTTCATTTTCTACTTTGTGTCTAAAACATTCAAAACTGTTTCTGCAATAGCTCATCTCAAGATCCAATCCTGGAACACCTGAGCAAAATGTGGGGAAAAAGACTAGGTCTGCATAGTGATTTGAAGGTTTAAAAGGAGCAATACATTCTGAGAGATCAGAGGAAACATTTCCTTATGAAACAGTTAATGAAATAAGTAGGGGGAAACTTCAACACAACCGTGAGATTCCAGAACATATTGTAATGATTTTAAAAGTAATTTGTATGATTGGGATATTTCTTA